TAAATGAACTTTTATTTAAATAAAATCTATATATACATTTTAAAAAGATTCATCGTCGATGAATTAATCGCGACAACTCTACGATTTGTTTCTTATAATAAATTATTTTCAACGCACAGCAGCATTTCCGCAAAATCAATAAAAACTCAACTCAAGTGTGATACATAACAAAAAAAAAAAAAATGGAAAACAAACCAGAAAAAACCTTGAAACTATGTTGTGATTAAAAAATGTAAAAAAATTATAATATAAAGCGCAAAAGTAATTGGAAAATCGGAGCCATCGGGCCAATTACAAAGCGGGTCCACATATGATCCATCATACCATCGCAGGATTAAAATCAGCAGCCGGAGCAACTAAAGAGCACACAAGTCGCAGCTGAACTGAATTGAACTAATCTGAACTGAACTGCACGGAAGGAAACTAAACTGAAGTGAATCCACCGTCCACCAATCTCAACTGCTGAATGGTAAACTTATGCCATAGTAATGGTATTCTAAATGTATAAAAACATCACCTTGCATACCATTTTTGGATGTTGTGTAACTCTCGTCATTAACTACTACTATCTTATTCTATATATATCCATGGACATACTATCTATAGCACAGACTGAAAACTTGTAACTGCAAAAACATGCCACATACTACTACTGTATTTTTATTACAACCTACTCTTATTATAATCATAAGCATCAAATGAAGAAAATGACCAAAAAATGTAGTTGATAACATTTCATCTGGCAAGCGTTGTCATCGGTATTTACAATAACATGAGTACATATGTACATAATGCAGAAACGAATCAGTCATTATTCGTTAATTTGCTTGAAGGAAATCAATCGTGCAATCAATTTCAGTCTATCAATCAATCAATTTATCAATCTCTTAACAATGCACTTGACTCAACAACAATTGCTGCTGCATCTGCTGCTGTTGCCGCCGCTTCATAACTCGATACGCAACTTCAGGCGTCAATCAATCAATCAATAAGTCTGCATATATCTCAATCACTTTATGTAACTGTCAATATATGTGTGTGTGTGTGTGTGTGTATTTTTAGGCGCATACATATATTTAGATCTTTCCTTTTCTCGCTCTCGCTTTCTCTCTTTCCCTTTCTTTCTCTCTCTCTCTCTCTCTCTCTCTAAATATGTATATATAAATTTCCCTCGTGTTGTTGTTGTTGATGTTTTTGATGTTGTCGTTTTTGTTGATGTGGGCGTTGTCTAATGGATTGATTATTAACCTACGCGCAGATATTGATAAGAACACTATAACTTAATAAGTACCAAGCCCACTGTCGAACGCCATATACCGCCAAGCACCACCAACATTACAATGAACATCCTGATTGCCATCCAAGAACACCACATGTCAACAACGTCATTGAAATAACTAATCGTCTACTACTTCTACAATGTTCATCAGCGCGCTTCTTTCGAATCCAATAAATGCAAACCAAGCCAAACCAATTTAAATCAAATCGAATCAACTCAAATCGTATCAGCTCAACTCAACTCAACTCAACTCAACTCAACTCAAACACTGCAACTTGTACTAAACCAAATGGCGCTACCACTTTATAAGCCTATCTATGATCTATACTTATAACTACCACACCTCGCCACCCTCATCATTTTATAGTGCAGTCTTCTAATAAAGGCAGAGCAACAGCACAAGGCCTAGTTTAAAGAGCAATTCATAATAAAAACAAGTATTCAAAGCTGCATTTACACGACCGCAAACCGAGAGAAGGATTAAGACAAATTCAAAATGAGTTGAAACTAATTTTAATCAGTTTTTTAATTAACAGTTATTAAATTGTTGAATAACTGACGTTTAGCTGATCATTCCGCAGTTTGTGTTGCCTACTTGGTTCACTCTATATCTCTCTGTCTCTCTCTCTCTCTTACTCCTCGACTCGTGTAAAAGCTGCTTAATTCAAAATGTTTTTGTGTGTTACATGTAACGAAATTGTAAGCGAAATTGCAAACCTTGAAAAATTGAGCTTAATTGAAAACAATTTCTATTTCTTTTTCTTTTCGTTTATTGTGCAAGTTCTTGAATTGGAAACGCGTAGAATAGAGCAAAGCTGTGCAGCAGCAGTTAAACTTATCAAAACAAAAAATACATTCAAATTAACAGCAATCAAATAGAAAGATTATTGAAAAATTAAAAAGATATAATAAGTAAATTATTTCCGTCGCATTCAAACAAATATAAGACTGAATAACATTTCAACAGTATAAAAAAAAACAGCAGCAATAGTTATTAACGCTTGCACGCTATGGAAAGTATTATGAAAGTGTTCATGGAATCGGCGGGCCAGCAGATGGACACAGATTTATATGCAACACCTCAACACCAGGAACATCAGCATCATCATCAGCAGCAGCAGCAGCAGCAGCAGCAACAGCAGCAACAGCAGCAAGAGCAACAGTTACATCAACAACTGCAACACTATGCATACCAATATCAGCATTCAACGCCCACACACATGACGCAATTAAATTATAACAATCAGCATCAGCCACGACATTCCAAGACAATAAAAGCAGCTACATCGCCCTCATCTTTACGTTCGTTGACCAGCGGCAGCAGCAGCAGCAGCAGCAGCTACAGCAATGGCAGCGCAAGCAGTATCAATCACAATGCTGCATACTCATTAGCCGTTCTTAGCTATAAGCAACAGCAGCAGCAGCTTCAGCAGCTGCAACAGAAATCGGCACAAAACTATCCTAATCTAAGCAATACTCAACATCATTATAATCAGATGGAACCGCAGCAACAGCAGCAGCAGCAGCAGCCCCTCAATCACAATGGCTCATCCAATGTAACGCCAGATCTGAGCACGTCACCAATTTCGACGGGAAGCGCAGTACAACAGCAGCATATGCATCTACAGCAGATAAGTAGCCATGAGACAACGGGAAATACGGCAGCAGCAGCAACAGCAATTGCAACGACAAGTGCAACTGCAACGGCAGCAGCATCACCCAGCTATAAGACTGCCTCTTGTTGGTGCTACGGTGAGTTTGATCAAAACACGCAATCAAATTCAGAAACTACAAAAAAAAAGATGCGCACAACTTCTTCTAAGTATTACACAAACCATCTACAATTTCACAAAGAAACACTTGCTCTCGCCTTCGCCCTCGCCCTCGCCTTCTTTCGCTCTGTATCTCTATATATCTCTCTATCTCTGCGTTCGTTACCAACAGTGAGAATAAGAACAAGAACAACAACTACAATAATCAATCAATCAATCAATCAATCACCATGCCACCATCTCAACATCTCAACATCTGTAGCTGCCGTCGAGTCATAAAAAAATGCCAATTAAATGCTGCCATCAACAGAAAAATTACAGCGAAATGCATAAAACACAACAATAAAGCTAAAGAAAAAGTAAAAAGAGTTTATTTAACTTAAGATAAATAATGAAATAATATTCACACATTATTCAGCATACAATAAATATAACGGCACCACACATACTCACACACCCCGATTCCATAAGTTATTTGTGCGCTCATTTATTTCGAATAGTAGTATTAACATAGTTTTGGGTATCGATTTTAGACCATTTCACATTAAGTATACGTTGCGTGGTACGCGACAGCCACTTGCTTTAACAATTTGCGTGCAACAGATTGGCTGTTGGCGAGGGTTGTTGTCGTTAGCCTAGTTGCTGTTGCGACTCAGCACTATGCATAGCAAATTAGCGTGCAGTGCCACGCCCCTTTTCGCAGTAGTGCCCAATTGCGTATGTTGCCAGAGTTATTTATAACAAAGACATAATTTAAACTGCTGCTCAACACAAAGATGCATAAAAACAAAAGCATTGCAAGCTGCTCGTTACGTTCCGGTCCTCTTTTTGGCTCAAAAAACCAATGTGGCAACAGACTTCACTTTTGTTTGACTGCACTTTTGGGCCATATCTCACTTTTCGGTCATCAGTTTAAGCTGTTGTTCGGCTTGGCGCACAGCGCTAGCTGTTTTTCTTATTCTTTGTTTTTTTCGCTGTCTCTCAGTTTTGTTAGACTCGCAGATGAGAATGCCACAGTCCGCCGATAGGCATCGGGCAACCTGCTTGGGTCAGGCGTTCTTTGTGGGTTGAACACATGTCGCAGTGGCTCAACTCTTGGCAAGGCTGCCACATTTCCTTAGTAGTGCATATTTGTGGCGTGACATGCCGAGCCAAGAGCTACAAGAGGCACTAGTTCTACTTTCTGGCTTGGTGACAGATGTGCGCCTCATTTCACCGCTTGTATCTAATTAGAGAAATAGTTTTTGAAGGACACTTTGCTTTAAGTGGACGACACAGATTTCAATTCTACTGTGCGATGGAACGTGGGGATATAATCAAGCGGATCGCCTAAAATTAAACCTAGCGAGACAAGCAGACGTCAAGTCGCTCATCTCAGAGTGTCAGACGGGTTTGTTGGCTGGGCAGGCGAGCAGTCAGTCAGGTGCATCGAGTGTGCTGTTTGTTTTTTTTTTTTGTTTTGCTTTGTTCTGACCGATTGTTTTGGGTAATAGTGCATCTCCGCTTGACACATTTTATTAATTGAAATTTGTTTGTTCACTTGCTTGTTGTTGCTATCTGAGGTACAGACTACTTTGACTATAATGAATATAAAGCAAAGCAAATCGGACTGCATGCGCGTGCTATCACATGCTTGGCTATCTATCGATCTATCATATTCACAACAACACAATTGATTTCTGTTTGTATAATTCTTTGGGTTTTGAAAATGATTTCATCTTGGCTTCGGTCATGTAGTGACAGTCCTATGCTTTCATAAAACACGTGACACACACAAACACACACCTGCACACCCACACACACACACACACACACACACACACAACAGAAACAGACAGATAATGTCATATAATTGCATATCTCTGCCTTTGTCTAACAAATGTAATTAATGTAATTTTCAGTTGTATCATTAATCTAATGTAATTTTTTTTACCTCTATTTCGTTTTAGGTGAGTCAGTTTGTTCTGGAATTGAGGTTGAAATTGAAAATAATAACAATAATCATAATCATCATGGTAAGCTTTGTCATACTTTCATTAAATACCATTAACATTCATCTATGTAATGCAAAACGCAGCGAAAAATGTGTAAATTTTCCAAACTGTTTCGTTTTGTGCGTATCTTTAATCTTTCTGACTGTCTCTCTCTTTCTCTCTCTCTGTCTCTCTCTCTCTCTCTCTCTCTCTCTCTCTCTCTGCCTCTGTCTCTCTTATTCCTACTTAATGCTTTTGTCGAACCTGAGACTGTCGCTGCTTAAGCTGAACATCTTGTCAACTGTCTAACGAGAGCTGATATCAATTCGTCGGTCTGACCCAATGAATCTGGCGAACGGGCAGCCCATTAACCCCTGACCAGCTGACGAATATAGACTGTCCGACTGTATGACTGGTTGACCAACATTTGAGCTTTGGGCTATTGCTTGTGGGGCATTTTTTTTTGGTTTGGGCTTTTCATGTGTCTCGCCTCGCCAGCATTTTCGTGTGTTGCATCCTCATTAAGCGTATTCCACTCTCATGGCTTGCCAGCGAAAAGCACTACAACAACATTCCACAGTAGAAAACAGCTGCAACACGAACAGTTATCAATATGCATGTCTCCACTACGATCCGCCCGACACCCCTAACCGACACCCGCCACCCGCCACCCGCCACACGCCACTCCAAAACCATAAACGCCCCCCATCATAACAAACTTAACTAAACCAAACGGAAATTCAAACATAAACTTCAACTAATTCGATTCAAAGATATAGTCTCGTTGCGCGCGTCCTGCCGAAACGGTCGAATACCAAATGCTGTTATTATTTTTAATTTATAACCTGCCGCGCAGCTACCAGAAATGTGCTATACCAAATGGAGTTAAACCCATTCCAGTTAAAGTTACAAAGAGCTGCAATGTGCCGAATTCCTTTAAAAATATGAACACTAATCAATGGTTGCACTGTGAACTATTTTTTTGACTTGCAGGCGATACCACATTTCACATGAAGATACTTGTGCCTGCGGTGGCCTCCGGGGCCATTATTGGCAAGGGGGGCGAGACGATCGCCTCGCTGCAAAAGGACACGGGTGCTAGAGTCAAAATGTCCAAGTCTCACGATTTTTATCCAGGTGAGTTGATTATGCCATTACAATCGAGTGCGTTACTCAAGATTGTTTGTGTTCCCATCCCTATTCCGCAGGTACTACTGAGCGCGTCTGCCTAATCACCGGCTCTGTGGAAGGCATCATGACTGTGGTGGACTTTATAATGGACAAAATAAGGGAGAAGCCCGACTTGACTACAAAAATCATAGATGCCGAGTCTAAGCAGGCACAGGAACGTGATAAGCAAGTTAAAATACTGGTGCCCAATTCGACCGCCGGCATGATCATTGGCAAGGGCGGCGCCTTCATTAAGCAAATAAAGGAGGAAAGTGGTTCCTATGTCCAGATTTCGCAAAAGCCAAAGGATGTATCACTGCAGGAGCGTTGTATTACCATTATCGGCGACAAGGAAAATAACAAGAACGCCTGCAAAATGATACTCTCCAAAATAGTGGAGGATCCGCAGTCGGGCACATGTCTGAACGTGTCCTACGCCGACGTTAATGGCCCCGTTGCTAACTTCAATCCAACCGGTTCGCCCTATGCCACCAATCAGAATGCCATCAACTCAAGCACCGCCTCACTGAATTCTACGATAGGCACGGCCATCGGCGGTGCGGGTACTGCAACCAGTCTGTTGGTCAATGGCGCAGGCATTAATCTATCCCTCAACCTGGGCTCACCTAACCCAGCGCCCAATCTGGCAGTTGCCACACAATTGCTTGAGCACATTAAGGTATGTCATTTTGGCTATAATTAATCAACATTATGGGCGATACTCATCTTTTTGCATGTAGGTTGCCATGCGAGGTGCTGGTTATGCGGAGACCGCCACCACTGACGTCTGCGCGGCCCTCGGTGTGCTAGCGAAGTACGGCGTGCTGGGCATGGGTCTGGGCGTACCACACGCCAATGGCGCACATCCCACACTGGGCAACTATTTGGGCGTGACGACGCTAGATCAGCAAACTGCGGCCGCGGCTACGGCGGCCACAGCGAGCAATGTTTTTGGCGCTGTCGGTCAGGTTAACTTTGAGTATGCTGCCGCGGCGGCTGCTGCTGCGGCGGCCAGTCGGCCAACGCAGTCTCAGCTGGAGGTGCAATTTGATTCATTCCGCCATATGGGCTCGGCCACTGCGCCAGCGGCCACGCCCGTTTCGCTAAACAACAACAGCTTTGGACTGACCGCTGCCACCGGTACGGTGACCAGCGCGCAACTGGGAGCTGCCGCTTCGATAGGCGGTCTTAGCAAGAGCCCCACTCCTGGTGATTTGGGTGCCAAGGATACCAAGAACGTTGAGGTGCCCGAAGTGATTATTGGCGCTGTTTTAGGTGGGCAACCTTTCTATTATTCCTACTAAAACCGACAATAATACCAACAACAACAACAACAAGCAAACACTTTAAACCGTTTTTCAGCACTCCCCGATCCCAATTCCCGATTCCCATGCCTAAGCCCCTTTGCCTATTTTGTGTTTAACCATGCGATTACTTAATGGTAGGATTTAGTTATAGTTATAGACATAGACGTAAAAAAAAAAAATCAAGCCATTACACATTCCTTGACAGGCATTCCAACCGATTCAGACGATTGATCAGTTGCTTGACTGTTTTGCATAAGCATTCCTTAAGGCATTCCCAATTAAACAAATATTTAGCGAAATTTCTAGTCAACTTCTTGCCCCCTCACACATAGCACAAGCCATGATCCATATGATGCCACATGCCATTTCTGCTGAAAGTTGAAAATTCGCTCACCCAGTTAATATATTGATTTTTAATTAGGAGTGGGCAATACGATGAGAACGTTTAAGGCACAACGAATTTTTTGTCAATATTGAATATGTAAATACCTAGAATATAGAATATTATATTCATTGGAATAGTGCAATTATTGGGTTTAATTTTTATTTGTTTATCTGTTTACTTTTTCAGTAATTACCTCAGTGTCAGTGTCGGTTTGTTTAGAACTTTAGGTTAAGTTACATATTCGTATTGGTTTATCTTAATTATATTGGCTCTTAATATGTTTCCAGATTGTGTTTTCCAACATCTTGGTATTTACACAGACACACTTCATATGCCTTAAATAACCTATACACATACATACATACAATTATATACCATAATATTTAACATAATCTGATGCAAATATTCCAGGTCCGAACGGTCGTAGTTTAGTTGAAATTCAACATGTCTCTGGCGCGAATGTGCAAATTTCCAAAAAGGGCATATTCGCACCTGGCACTAGAAATCGCATTGTAACCATAACTGGTCAGCCGAGTGCCATTGCCAAAGCGCAGTATCTAATTGAACAAAAAATCAACGAGGAGGAGACAAAGAGGGCGCGTCAAATTCCATTAACCACTGTTGTGAATTAATAATCAAGCAATCAAGCAAGCAGCACAACAACAAAAAACAACAACAACAAACAACTATCCCCTATTAAAACGCATTTCCTCAAAGAACGGTTCATTTATAAAAAGAAAAAAAAAACAACTAACAAACAAAAACAAAAAACAAAACAACAAATGCAAAGAAAACTAAAGGAAGAGTAAGCCCAAAACACAATAAATTAAAAAAAAAAAGGAAAAAAGAAGCTAATTTACAACAAATAACAACAGCAGTAGCCATAAAAACAACAACACACATCCACACACAAGCACATACACATTTAAAAAGGCATTAGCAATGCGTTTTAACTATTGCTAAAAAGATTAGTAAGAGAATCCCAGAGAAATGAATTCGAACCCTTAGCAAATTTGATTTGACAAAAAAAGAAACTACCTTTTATCGTAATGCTGAATTTGTTTGCCACACTATTTAAATTTGACCAAGGTATTGCGAGATACACCTGGGCTGATATTTCGCCTGCCTTTTTTTGTTGTTGTCATATGTTGCGTGTTCTCTTTTGGGCACTCTGATAAACTAAATCCCATCAGATGTATACATAAATATATATTGAGTTATATTCACATATATATTTATATATTCATAAGTTTGCTGCGCTTACATATAGAAAGGCATGTATGTATATGTATGCACATATGTACATATATGCACTTTATACACTAATTGTTGACTCGTGTTCATATTACAGAAAATACATGACACGACACACACACACACACACACACACACACACACATTTATGCATAATACACCAATACACACATAAACAATTGAAACGAGTAAATTAGCATTATGTTGAGACTAAAATGGATATGTTTGTGTAATGAGAGCGTTTTCAGTGAAAACTTCAGGTGATTTTCCAAAATGGTGTCCAAATAAGGTAAATATTTTACTACACACATTCACATGCATATGTACATATGTATATGCTATAAAATATATACAACAAATACACCTAAAACAAACAAAAAATGAACGCTTGACAGGCTAGTGATAACTATTTGAAACACTTTTTACCTCAAAGACAAAACCTTTTGCGTTTCTTGTTTTCTGTTTCTGTTTCTGTTTCTGTTTTCTGTTGTTGCCCTTTTGTGCTTATTGCTATGTTTATATATTTGTATATATACACACACACATGTTTCTTAAATATTACGTTTTTAGCCCTTAATATTCTATTATGATATTGTTAAAATGTTGATCATGATAATGTTGTTTAATTTTCGAAAGAGTGGTACAAAATATACCAAACAAGTGGTGTTAATGTTTTGAGCGCGCACGTGAGTCTCCTTTTTGATATTGGTTTTATGCTCCTAATTTGTTAATCCTCATATATTTTACATGTCTGTTTCGTAAGAAACCAATTGCGACTTTAAGTCCCTTGTTTCTATATCTAAAGATTATATATAAACAAATAAATATATATATATTTATATAAATATATGTATATATATATCTATATATATCTATTTTTTTCGGCCCCAATGAAACCGTTTGGCATTTCGTTACAATCATCATACTTATATTCTGTTTTTGGAAAGGTTTCCACCATTTTATTTTCATGCATACATTTTAATCTTAAGTATTACCTATTCTCTTTTTCGCCTAATGCATCACAATTAACTTTATCTTAAAATATAAATCAATGTCTCTGTAAAATAAACATATCCACACACACACACACACGCAAAAGCGCGCCACCTTATAGGCCAAAAGATACCACTATTAAATCTTAAGTATTGTGCAATTATTACCCGTTAATTTGGTTACATTTGAACTCGTTGTACTTTTTATACATTCATATTATATAGACAAGAATAGAACATTGCAAAGCAGAGTTATTTTGACATCACATTTGAACTTGTTTTATTATGGAAACCCCCATACAACATACGAATGCATGGATATATATATGATTTATCTGTAATGAAAAATATTGTTTTACTTTCGCCCCCACATTATTTACTCTAAAGTTTAATTTTATTAATAAAACAAATATAAATATACAAATTTTAAATAAAACATTGCCAAAAACGAAATCAACCAACATTGTATTGTGTTTAATTGAGAGCACCCGGCACATGGCGCATAAATCACCTATCACAACCACAGCTCCACTAACAGCGTACTCTAAACAATTCTGCAACATTATCATGTCAAATCAACAGTCAGTCAGTCAGTCAGTCAGTCAATCAATCAATCTCTCAGCTCAGCTCTATATAAGTTTAAACTTCAGTTCAGTTCAACACAACAATAATATCACTGAAAACGCTCAAGAATAAAAGAAAACCGATTCTAAGCTAAGTTTATCAAAATAAGTTGAAAAGTTGTTCACTTTATTATTGTATTTTTTATTTTTGCTATTATTGTTAAAGCTTACCTTCATTTGTTCTTATTTGTGCAATATTTATATAAATATTATAAGAATAATAATAAATATGCGCCAAAAGAGTTAAATAGTTACAATATTCGTAAAAACCAAATTGTGACAAGTTTAACAAACAAAATCTTAAGTCAAACAAAAATCCAAACTTAAAGTAATATTGAAAGTACAGTCGAAAATGCTAGTGTGCCTTGACAAAAAAAAAAAAAAAGAAAAAAAAAATATAATGAAGATTTCTGTTCGCTATTTTATGAATAATAATTACCTTTTTACATAATTATTAATTGTTACTAGGAGAAACAAGGCGTACAGAGTGTAGTTAAATTATAAAACAACAAAAAAATAGACCGTCAATACAATTATAAGATACAAAAGAAGGAGCAAACAATAAGGACAACGACAACATTCAATTCTACAGCCACAATATCGCATACCACAAACTTAAGTGCCCGATGCAACAAAATCAGAACAAGCATAAGACACTAAACCAACTTCTGACCCCTAACAACAACAAATACAAGAAACAACAAGAAATATCGTACATTTTATCGTCTTTTTTGTCATGGCAAACCAGAGACAAGCAAAGGCGCCATGCATACATACAACAGTTCATATGTACATGCAGCATGCAAAGGCACATGGCATATTCACAGTTACCTCACACACATCCGCACACGCACACTTATGCCCACACCTAAATACATACACACACATGCATGCATAGATACACGTTGCATACACATTGGTCGTACTAAATAGGATCATATGCGCCTGCTCACAGAGTTATGTTTAATGTATGAGTTTTATACGGTATCTAAAGTTAAAGTAGAGAAAACAAAAATAAAACAAATATATATATTTATGTATATTTGTACTGGATCTGTGATATGTATTTAAAAAAGAGAAAACACAAGCAAAAATAAGAAAAACTATATATATATATACATATATGTATGTATATATATACTTACATATATATATATATATATATATATATATATATATATATTAAACGAAACATGAAATTAATTATGAAATAATTAATTTATTCTGAAAGGACGAAAAGCTTTACTTCAGAAGCAAAACAAAAAAATCAACTAAAGCAGCGTGGCGTTTGTCATTTTCTAACTAAATCCTTGCCACTGTTCGTTCCGATTGTCCGAATATTTGTTCTTGTCCCCAAATCAGTTCCCGATTCAGTGTTAATAAAGCCCATGTCTAAATATGCCACGCCTTCATGCCGACCGATGCAAGATCGACTGTGTGTGATGAAAGAGAAGACAAAATGCTGCGCTCTGGGTCTTATCCTGCCGGACAGTCCACGTGATTATGCTTGTTAAGATTATACTGATTGTTTTTTTTTTTTTTTTTTTTTTTGTTAAATGCGTTTGTGTTTTTGCTGTATAATAAGGTCAGCTTTAATTATCCAGAAATCATATTGAAAAATCATAATCCCAGATAATTCTGATTGCTTCAACGAGTATCAGATAATTAACACCAAATCGAACGGTCTACATATTAATCAGTCATATTTCTCATAACAACAGTCACCACTCGTCAACCTCCTCGGTACCCCTATACTAGCTATAAACTCATTTATAAATCCTTCGGAGCGGCGTACGCATATTTTATTTCGCAAGTTTTATAAAAGTTATTTAATGGTAAAATATAGTGCTGTTATTTCAGCGACGGAGTCTATTAGAGTTTAACTAGTGAAAATAAAAAGAAACAACTTTTATTAACTATATATTTACGTATTTCAAATATTTCAAACTTGACTTTAATGGTTAAAAAAAAATAAAATAAAGATAAAAACATATAACTAAGAATTGGAAGAGCGCAAGAAATCGAAAAATATGGTATATAATATACTTGAAACGCAGTTTTTGCTCTGTAAAATAACATATAAAGCAAATTATAAAATAAAATTATATAATATGTAAGTGCAAAAAAAAAAAAGGATGTTACATTTAACAATCAAATCAGTTTTGTTTTGCTTGTATGGTAAAGAAAACATAAAAATACATATATACGTATGTAGTAGTATGTAAATTCTACATAAAGTTGTTATTTATAATTTGTTATGCTTTGCCTCCACACTGTTATTAGGACAATTTAACAATTATATGCATAATAACACATATATTTATATACAGATAATATATATAAATATATGCACACACATTAATAAACATATATATACATATACCGATAACAAGTGCAAATGGAAATAATATAAATCTTTTGGAATGACGAAACGTTACAGATTTATAATATATGCGATATTATGACATAATGCGATAAATGTCAGGTTCGATGATGCCATTCTAGAAACCGAAAGCTATGTGGAATATATGGCTGCATACATACATATTCAGACATTCATATGTACATGCCTTCTCCATTTGCCATTATGTGAAAATAGGCGTCTATTTAATTGGCAACAATAATAACAAGAAACCCTCTAAAACTTCGGCAACAAACACGACCCATTCAAATATTTAACACTATGTATATTATACATATTTACATGTACGTGTATAATATACAATATAATATATATATATACATACAAAAATAGCTGTTAGCGTGATACATAACATTATTATTATTTGATTCGTACAAGTAAAAGGTTTGAAGACGATACAAAACAAACATCCAATGGTGCTGCGCGGACTTGTACTTTCTAGTGAGCACCTTGGCGGGGCAATGTGCAACTCAGCTAAAAAAAAACCTTGCAACATTTATTTGTCATTATGCGATGTTTGTCATCCATTTATTTAAGCAAAGCAGACTTGCGCTCATTGGTTTGAAGCAATCTAAAGCTTTGATCAGATTTGGGAAATCAACATACATATACATACATATGTATGTATATATGCATATATTTTATGGCGAAACAAAAATGATGTATGCATGATATTGTTACAATATAGGTAATAATTCATTTAACAGTGTCACAGTCAGACGAGACCTTCTTATATTTGATATATCAATTTACCAAATGTCCAACATAGTTACAATAATTTTAATTTCAAAATAAAGTCAGTCAGTAGTAAGGCCAAAGTAAACGTTTGTGGAAATTCAATGTTTTGTTCAGTCTTCTTTTTATATATCGTAGATTTCAACAAATGGAAACCTAAGATAGTAGGAGCATACGTGAGTACCTTAGGATGAAGAACATAACTAATAATAGACAAAATTTGAACGTTGCCTTCACGTTGTGTACTTGCAACTGTTGCAATTTCAACTAATCGCAATAGTTTGCAACAATGCAGAACAACGTGTGGGATTTCATTTGAAGCTGTTATACAAGCCACTAGATTTAACAATTAAATCAGCAACACCAAATATAAACAATATAGAAACTAACCATTTTCTCAACATTTCTTAGACAAAGTCAACTACTTACTAACATGAATATTCAAATTATGATGAAGAAATACATAGGTATAACACTTTTCACACAAAATTGTCGAAACTCAGTTGCACTTTACGAATACAAAGAAACGAACTCTTAATGCAATTTTAAAATTATAAAGCAAAAAACCTCAATTGAACGGTGGTCATTTGAAATGCTCGTAATCGCAGAACATTCAAGCAAGCAAAACATCATGGAAACTCATTCAAAAGTAAAAGTACTAAATCTTTTATGATTTGACTGTGATAAAAATAATGACAAAAAGAGATGAAGTGAATGAATTACCAAATGAATTGTATAATAGAGTATGTATAAATTGAATGTATGTATACACATGAATGTAACCTTCAAGCAGGTGCAATACTGCGGCTCTTTAACAAATCCAATAAGTAGAATGAAAATTGTTTGGTACGTGCTCATAGTGCAACACCATGTGCGGCCTAGGATATGTTGTTTAAATAGCGATAATAAGTATGTATTTAATTACTGCGAAACAGAAAAAAAAAAAACAAAACAAACAAATAAAACTAAACAAAACGAATAAATATTAAAGTTTTACTTATATATATTAGCAAAATATTTAAAAAAATTTTAGCAACAAAAGATCGAGCAAGGTATCGAGTAAAAAATAACAAACAAGAAAACTTAATTATTAACAAAATGCAATAATTATATAAACAAATAAAAAATTGAAAACAAAACATAGATGATATTTAGTTATGCTCTATTAAAATTTATAATCGATTGAAGTTTTCTAAGGATGAGGTTCAGCTAGCGAAGCAGAAGGTTTTATAAATATATTTATCTATTATTTTACTTGAATTTCAAAACTATATATTATAACTCACACACAATCTTCATACAAGTAAGCCAGAAAATCATTTCTTCAATATGTTTATAAAAAATGCAAAAAATTATGACTACAAATAGTCTAGAAAGTGTTAAAAAAAAATTAAAATCAAAAGGTAACGTAGCTCATTCAAATTAAAAAAAAAAAACACACTCACGTAATTTTGAACCTACTCGTATAATAAATCAGATCTTGTACAATTTGGCAAGAGGCGCTAACGGGACCGCCCAAATCCAAGAACAAATAGTAATCTACATATAATTATATACAAATGCATAGTACATATAACCTAAGAGATTCATACTCGAATTGAATATGCAACAAACTCTTCAAGATCAGCGCGACAAAGATAAAGAATAAACAGCGGCAGGCTGGATACAATAAATAGAAAGCAAATATATAGCTATGTAGGTCCGACGTGTCGATATGACATTCTACTGAACATAATGCTAATGGTAATGTTATGACGTGCGTCCGGCGCATACGTATGGAATAGTAGTTATAGTCAAATTTGTTGAGTACATATATATATATACGCATAAAAAACGGAACACCAACAAATACATACACGTAATGTCACATATTAGTATGAGGCGCTAAAAGATCCGTACTAAATAAACAGAAGTAATTGTAAAGTAAAAATCCAAGTCAAGGTACATAAAGAGTTATAAAATACACATACAAATAACATGAATTACTCATTTAAGAAAGATTATATAAAAATAAAAACAAGACAAAACTAATAAAGAATATATTAAAAAAAAATGTGGTTTTTCTTTATTTATTTATTATTTATTCTCATATTACAGATGCCTTTAAAAAAAAAAGAATGCAGCCAATAACCAGGACATTTGCAAACTCAAAAACTGCAGCAGACAAAAGGCCGCAGTCCTATACATCAAAAAGTCGATTATATAGTTTACAGCAATATAAGAATAAATAGCTAGGAGAATTACAGGTGCGTGTGAGATGCAGAGGATTTATTAGACCATGAGTTGTTTAAAATAGTAAATTATTTATTTGCCAACTTCGGCGGACAGTCTGGTTGATTGTGTGGATGGCTGGCGCGAATAGTTTCATTAGTCGCCAAATTTTGATCGAGCTGCAAGATTGTGGGATAAGGATCCAAGGTGACTTTGTACCTGAAAGAGGAAGATAAATGTAAAAAATTTTGCGTCTGTATGATGATCAAACTCACCTTCTGGCGTTGAAAACTTGTGGTACAAGGCAGCAATCAGCCATGGATATTTCATCGCCCACACAGTATTTCCCAGACGAAAGCGAAAGCACCTGCTCCAGACCCCGAAAGCCACGTGATATCCAATGTTGCGCCCACTCCCTGCTCTTTTCTTTGCCCAGGTGTGATAATACTAGTCTGTTCTGCAGCGGCTGAATACCTGAGCATATGATCTCAACAATCTCGCGCACTTTGGCTCGCTTGTGCGGATCCTGTGGCAACAACGGATGCAGCGGCCGTGTTTCATCCAGATAGTGCATAATGGCCACGGAATCGCATAGTGTCTGTCCGTCTAAGCGCAAAACAAGTACAAGAAATATTGAAACTACCAACAATTATGCGATCGTAAGGCATATGGGATGCTTACCAATTTGTAAAGCTGGTACCTGTTGCATAGGATTAAGTTCTCGATACTCATTCGTATAGCAGTTTATGGAGTCATTAGCCTCAGTCGTAACCAGACTTGTCGGCCTTAGTTCGTAAGGTATCTTTTTCAATCCCAATGCAATTCGTACTCGCCAAGAACAAGAACTGTAGAAATACGAGTAAAGCACCGGCCTTGTATCGGGGGAAACTATTGAACTCGACCTGCGCATTCCACACCCAGCTAAATACATATACTTTGCTGTAGATTTTCTGAATCCACTCATTGTATATAGGCAACTCGAAAGCCACGAATTGAATTGTTAAGGTAGTTTGTACCGGTGTTAAACTTTTAGAAAATTGTGGCTACAATCAGCAAACCTTTCTTCTTAGATATATATATACTATACTATATACAGTCATATAATAACAAATAAACACTTAGCCGACTACCGATTAACTATCGATACACAATGCATACATTCATCCGATATTACATTCATTTAAGAATTAACCCAAAATCGATTCTTATGAAATACAAACGATCGATTGAATAAAGTTAAGTGAGAAGTTTATTTGTTAAATACATATGTAGTTAATATTCGGAACTGTTACAATATTATGGATATTAACATAGTAGAATTGTATGCGAAATCAGGCAGTTCGTTTGATTCTATAGGATAGATCCTCAATACGATATGAGGATCGATTAATGCGTGATTCAAACGGGAAACGAGTAATTTACGTACATATAATTTTGTGCATTTATTTCATTGGGTTATAGTTTGTGTCGTGCTTTTAATTTAAGGAAATACAGTTTTAACTCTTAGCTTGTTAATACAATGTTAGTAGCAAAGAGATATTATTTGTTCATTGTTCAATTTTGTCACCCGATTAAGTTATGGTATTTAAGTATCCTTAATTTAAACACTTTCTGTATTTTTTACTTGTTCTTTACTTTATAAACAGAACGCCTGCTAATAGAGTTGACTGAAGCTTTGTACTTTTCAAAAAGTTCCTTGTAAAGCGCCCAACTTTTTTAACTTACATATGTATGTATACTTCTATATACTTGCGCATTTTGGTTTATAATGGTAATGTAAATTTGCACTTAAACTATTTTTGCTTTTTTAAATCCCTGAATTAAATTTTGCTTTTCATTATGTGTTCTTCTTGAATTTTTTTCCTGTTAGCCTAAATAAAATTCATAAAAATACGTTTATATATGAGTTTATCTTTTAGACCATTTTTTCATATTGAAAACTAAAGAAAATATATTTTTTTATTTGTTTTTTTTTTTTTTTTTTGAGAATTATTAATATTGATTTGTTAGCATGCCAGTTAAAATTTTATTTTTATCGATAGTATTTTTATGCATTTATGCATAGTTAAATGCTGTTAGCAATTTTTTAAATCACATCCGACTGTTTCTCTCAATCAAATCTCGCTTCTTCTCCATCTGACTCTAGCTCCAAAAATTGTTATTTCTCACTGTCGAGTTATACATATATTTGCTTTTTTTACGAACTGCAATTCACTTCTTCGTTTTACGGCGTTTTGCAGTTGTCGTCGGAAAATTCTATTTGTTTGGCAGCTCCGGCGGACAGTCCGGTTGATTGGAAGGATGGGCAGCTCGGAATGCTGGGTTGCTCTCCAGCTCACGATCAATGCGTAATATAATCGGATATGGGCGCAAGTCTACGTGAAATCTGAGGAATATTGTCTTAAGCCTCATTTTATCTGGTTTCTAGTTATGTGGGACTTACCTTCTGGCATTAAATACCTGCGGTACAAGGCAGCAATCAGCCATTGAGATTTCATCACCCACACAATATTTGCCTGCCGAGGTGGACAGTGCCTTCTCCACGGCACGGAAGCCACGTGTTATCCAATGCTGTGCCCATTCCTTCTTCTTTTCCTCGCCCACGTGGATTAGAACAATCAGGTTTTGAAGTGGTTGAATACCAGAGCAAATGATCTCAATTATTTCTCGAACCTTAGCTCGTTTGTGTACATCTTGCGGCAATAGCGGGCGCTGGGGTCGTGTCTCTTCCAGGTAGTGCATAATAGCCACTGACTCGATCAGTGTATGTCCATCTACATGAAGGTTAAACAAATTTAGAGATCTTTTTGACACAGATTGTGGCATATGATGTGCTCACCAATTTGCAGCGCCGGCACCTGCTCCATAGGATTTACCTCGCGGTACTCATTGCAGTGTTGCTCGCCGCCAGACTTGATGAGACTAATAGGCTTGATGTCATAGGGTATTTCTTTAAGATTCATCGCAATCCGAACACGCCAGGAGCACGAGCTACGCCAATACGAGTAGAGTATTGGCTGTGTACCGATAGAAGCAGAGTTAGTTGACATTTTTATAGAATTGCTTATTGCTATGCTGCCAGCTCGTAGTATGCTGACAACGAAATGAAACCCTCAGTCAGCCAGCTGCCATATCAGGCCCATTTCTTGTGATATCTGTTCATTTGAATAAATAATGTAAGTCGACATAGAACAGAACAGGTTGATACTGATAACGAGAGCACAGACTCATCACACATTTTCAGAGGTGATCTGGTCAAACCAGTTGCTCAGCAGCGAGTTTGTTAATTTGCTTGTTGTTTCTCTTGCCGCTTGCTAAAATTACGCTATTGTGTTTATAACTAAGTAATACTACGTGCTGATCAAAATGATACATTCAAATGAATTGAGTATTTGAGGTGCGCCACAAGCGGTAACAGATCTGGCATAACTTGCTCTAACTTGAGCCCCTTCTGGTAACGCTAAATATATAAATCTAACAACTTTCATTGACGATTGATTAAATGTCTCAGCAGAGAACTAAACTTTAGAATTCGCATATTTTCGCTTTCGAATATCAAATATTCTATGTTCTAGCAGTTGAAAACACAAAAGTTGTTAAACAAAACATTTGGCCAATATTCGTGTGATATTATTTGAGTTCTTGTTATAGAACTGCAGTTGTTGCTATTTTAATTCGGTTCATCATTCTGCTTTTCGCAAAAGAAGGTTGAGGGTATTTCCTAGTCGAGCACTACCGAGGCATTCTTTTCAAATACTAATAGAAAAATCTGAGCAACGCCTTTATATATGTAATCTGTTTTCGTATATAATAAATTATCTGCAAAGCTATATTCGGATTCGATTTTAAATATGGGAAAGCAATTATTTCCTTTGACTAACTTTTCTTAAAGCAGATAGTTACACATTGATGGATTAGATTGATATCTAATAATTTGGTTTCTCTCTGTATGAAATGTTTTTGTTAGAATTTAAATGCAATCTAAAATTCCAAATTTGTATCCTTTTGCTTTAATTTTCCTAAGACAGGATTGAATTTTTCGAAGTTAAAAGTGTTAATATCAACAACAAAAAAAAGTGTATTGCGAAAGGCAATATAAATATTGTTTTAAGACAACTTTGATTTTACTGTCTGATGTAACTTATAGTGTATATGTAATAAACAAAATAATGATATAAATATAAATTTTATTGAATATGTGTTAGGAATTTATATATCATTATCTAATAAAACATGGAAATGTTATCAACTGAACAGTTCTATCAGAAAATCATAAGAAAATCATAATAAAACCTGCCCTATTTTATAGTTTTTAGCACAATTTGATTTATTCCTATTGTCCTTTTTTTGGTATACCCACATGATTCATTTAGGGGCCGTGCGTTAATTGACAATGCTGCAAACGATATGAAAGTTGTATACACACTGACCGCCTGTACCAAAAACCGAAATGTGTAGAGCAACAGTAATAAAAGCCAATGGTTCCGCACAAGCGCCAAAATAACATACATATGTACGTATGTTTGTGTGTGTATGTTTGCAAAAGGACCCTATCCAGCGATTCCGGGAACAAATGAAGGCCCACATAGGCCAACAATAAAACGTCCGTATGTACGTGTGTCTATATGAGAGCGTAATAAGTTGCCTAAAAGTTCGTTGAACCCATGTGAAAGTAAAGTCGGTAGTATCCAGAGATAGACATGGAGCCGAGAGTAGGCCGAGTCAGCACCGAGCACCGATATGTGTCGTACATCAAGGTCGACTAGGGGCATTAACCTTAACCAATACGACGTTGTCCTGGTTGCTATTAAGCAAGAACAGACCCGTATGACGCGCCAAGGACATTCGCAGACGTCCATGGCGCTGCGCTCAAGAGCTATCGCGAGCGAAGCACAAAATGGCTCACAAGTTTCGCTGGGGTGCTTTTATAGGGGTTGCTTCTGAGTGCACGCCACACTGTAGTTTGAGTTGAACGCAACCGGCAGGGTTGTCGAGTCCATCTATTCGCTAATCCGTGCTCCCTTTGTCGTAGGCAACGCCACAGCCTAGCAACTCTGTACGCGCCATTTCTCAGTGTGTACGCTAGCGAAAAAAGCTTTCAGTTCTGCGCATGTGCGGAAAACGCATGCTGGCAGTATGAGTTTAACTCAAACCAGCGGCGGCCGCTGGCACCGTAGTATGAGTGAGTTTTCAGTAAGGATTTTTTGCCCAAGGAGGCACAAAATTTTAGCGCCATTCACGCGGGACTTACCTTGGCTATGGCCGAGAGGGACATAGCGTTATGATGATACTTTGAGTAGTTAATTTTGAAGCCGTTTAAACCGAACGCACTGCGAAAACTACAATTTGCCGACCGGACGGGGGTGGGGTGCAGCAAAAACTAGACGTGGGCTACGTAAGGCGATCAAACTTCAAACTTCAACCTATCCACCACCGACACAATAATTGTATTATCCAAGTAGCTATTGCAATAACGCTTTTGCCAATGTAATTTGGTGTTGTTCAATTTGTTTTATCTGACTGCAGGCGACCCTTAATGCACTCAAAGTCGAGCTCCGACAGCTGAGGTAAGCGCGGCACGCAGCAGCAAAGGAAGACAGCGACTGCGACAACGACAGGACACGATGCCAGAACGCAACTGAACACACTGAACTCAATAAACGAGTGCGAAAGCGAAAGCATAGGACAATGACAAAGCTAACTGAGTAAGGGAGAGCGCGAAATGAAGTGACGAAGACAGACAGACAGAGAGAGACAGAGAGAGACAGAGAGAGGGAAAGAGAGAGAGAGAGAGAGAGAGAAGGCAAGGAAAGACCAACAGAACACGGTAGCAAAAGCTTAAAAATTGCTGGTAATTGTCTTTGATAAGCTTTCTTAGCTTTTTTCGAAACCAAAGAATCGGAATTATCATAAAAGAACGTAACCAGAATTATTGTTAATAATAGAAACTATTGTTGTTTTTTTTTATGACCACCAGTTTATTTGTGTTTTCATTTTAAAATTTTTTTACTAGAGTTTTTGTAAGTTTAATTCATTTCCATTAAGGTTGCTCAAATGATTTTCGATTAAATTACGCGGCTTAAACCTAAAGGTATGTAACATATGGACTAAAATAGTTAACAACTTGTTAAAGTTTGTTTCTACAGAAAAACGTATACAAATAAATACCTAATATACATATGCACTTATAAGTACATAAAACTAAAATAACATCAGGAAATTGAAGTTTAACAAATTACAAACATTAATTTTAGTTCTGTTTTGTAGAAATGCAACAATGTGTATAACGACTTTTAAACAGCCGCACAACCAATAGAATATCACACCAAAAATGGCAGAGTACAACGAATCTAACAAAGTGTAAGAGAGAGAGAGAGAGAGAGAGATACAGTGTGCGTGTTTGTGTGTGTCCGTGTGTGTGTGTTTGTGTATATGGATGTGTTTCTCTAAGGATACAGTGAACATTGCTAACTAGATAGGTAACGGTAATGCCAACAACAACATCGTGAGTCGTTCTTCGTTGAGGCAGGATTCCTGACTGTACAGATATCTCCAGTGGGTGTACCGGACCTGGGCTTTGGGTACAACATTCATAAAGTTTAACTACCTCAGCGCTACATAAGTTCTCGTTGTCATTTTGCTAGCTAACAAAATTAACTGTATAAGTGTATACATAAGTATGTATGTATGTATAAAATTGCCAACAAATTAATAAATTATTGTTGTAATATTTTTAGAAAATAGTGTCCATATATCATCATATTCGTGGTCGTCATCCAGACGTTACCTTTTGTTTGCAAACTATGCATACATTTTTCGTAATCTTTCATTTGTTGTTTTTTGTTTTTTTTTTTTACTTATCCTAATGCATTCGAAGAATTGACTACAAGTTAATGGCAAGAGCCACACCTTTGTTTTTTGTTTGCTTTTTTTTGTTTTTTTTTGTTTTTAAAGAGTTTACATGTACAACATACGTTACACATACACATACAATACACAATAATCATAATAATCATAATTATTTGAATGTTCAATACAACTGGTAACATCATGCTAAATACAATATGCCATCATTATAAGACAATTGCTCCAATATGCTAAAAACTTTTCATTCTATTATAATTATCAGAGACGCAGCCATAGTCGAACATTTTTGACCATTTTAGCAATAAATAATTTTAAAAATTATTTGGAGGGAATATTCATGATTCTCAAATATCTTTACGTTATTCAATTTGATATCAAATGTAAGTGTAAAGAATATTTCCATATGTATAAGAGAAAAAAAAAATATCGTATTCTTCTTTGTTTCACTAACGAAAGAGATATAGTTTTTGTTTTCGATTTAGTTTCGTTGAAAAAATGCATAAGTTATGTGCCAAACAATTTGCATTTGTTATTGTTAGGTACAAAAAATGTAAAGCAAAGGTAAAGCAGTTTTGCATTAAATGATAGCATGTAAAATCCTTTTACCGTTCATTTCAATTTACACCTATTTTGATCATCAGTTACAACCATGAAAACATTTATGTTTACATTTATGCATTTGTACACACACATACGTATGTATGTACAGACATATATGTATGTACCGTAAAATATTTCTTACTGTCTCAATAATTTTAGACCAATATAATTATGTGTGTCTGCCTTTGTTTTTCTTTCTGTTTTTTTTTTTATCATTTTTTTTTTTTTTTGTATTTTAGAGAATTTACATGCTAAGTACAATTTACGTTCAACAAGAGGTTATAGCATTTTAATTAATGCCATAAAGTAACAGTTTCTTTGTTTATAAAAGATTTTCATATTACAGTTAAAACTTACGTCTGAGAGTTGTGTACTTGTATATGGTACTTTATTTTTACATTCGTACTGTTGGAGATTCGGGAAAGTACCCACATTGATCGAATCAGTAATACTGAGCTGTAAAGTTAGTTGCGATGAATGTGTGCACGTGCGATTATAGGCCTGAATTAGTTGCGATGAATCTTGAATCTTGAATCTAGATTACCGTGTGGCATAATATATACATATTTAAAAATAACTTTAAGCTTATGATTCATTTAGCTGATTGATTAAAAGTGTCTGCATATGGTTCAAACCTTCAAATAAAAATTTCAATCGAATCGAATCTCACGATTATAAAAGATGTCATGAAAAATTATGCAAATATGTATATACCACACTTTATAATAATTCTCGTTCATCACTAGTTCATCAGACCTATAGAAGTATGCCTTATATATTTGCATTATCGGCAACTTGCCTGAAATTTTCACTTATATGCTAAACAGGAATGCAACCATCCATAGAAATTTGGATGATGATGTCTGTGTTTACTATGTATACATGTATTGAATGCTTTTCTTATAAGTTTTAGTTTCATTTTTTTTTTTTGTATTTTAAATTAAATTGATATGTCTAAGAGCTATTATCAATCGTTTTCAATTTTAAAAAGATTCTGTTTGGTATTGTTTCTCGAAGTAATTCAGTTGTTCTTGTTAATATGAACTTGTGCATTTGGTTAACTCCATATAAGAAGTTCCTCAGATTGCACATCATTTGTATATTAAAATTATTGTTAGAAAGTGATTTTTGCGAATACATAAGTAGGCATACGCTTCAGTAAGTACAATTTTATCTTAACTATTCGAGTTTTATATTGTTAATTCACTTGAGTTTGAGTTTTGAGCTAAAATAAGTCAGTGGCCCATGAGCGCGTGCAGATCCAGCATTTTTTTTGTTTATTTTTTTTTTTTTTTTCTGAGCTTATATACAGATTTTATAGTATGCACATACGCTCGATTTAATCGTATGTGCATATGTATATATATATATTTATATATATATAATTATATTATATTATACATTCTCGTACACTTAATGAACAATCACAACGCAGAGTATTCGAATAAAGTGCTGGCGCCGCTGAGATTGCAGTTTCTTTTGAAATTAGAGGAAAGTGAATATAGCATAAAATATATTTCACAGATTGTCATATCTACTTTGTTTGCGTTTCGACTAACGAAATAAAAATGCACCCAAATCGCATTGAAATAACAGATACGAATATTTAATCAATAAATAAGGAAATATAAAACATAAAAATAAATTAATAAATATATATAGATAAATATGTGTGTAAGACAAAAATGAATCGAGCAAGAAGTTCTCATTTGACTAGACGGTAGGACTTACAACTTGCAGACTAGTTTAATATGCTAAGTATATGTTATTATTTAACTCTTCTTCTTATTCGAAATATGGCTTTTTTGTCATTAGGAAACTTTATGGTAAAGCAACAAAGTACCGAATCTTACTTAACATTACCTAAATAATACAGCTAAGTACATATTTATTATTTATGGTATATACTTTTGCTTAAGCACACATTTGAAGACTTTATTCATAATACTTAAGACTTAAGCTTGAAGGCATTTTTTAATATATATTTTTTTTTTCAATGCTTTTCAAAGTAAAGCATTATGGGAAAGGAAGGGAAGTTGTGTCTATGTATTGACTAATTCGTTGAGAAAATGCACACAACATAAGTTGATCGTCAGAATTTGAATTTTCTATTGCACATTTGTATTATTTGATGTATGCATAGATTTGTTTCTGCTAACATAGACCACATACATTTGCGATTGTACGCGTATATATAAATACGTTTTGGTACAAAAATAGTGTAGCTGTCTTGAGAAGAGTCTTTTTTAAGTGGCTTCCGTAGCCCACAACAAACAGTTCTGAAGATGCTTAGTGGTGGGTTGCTTTGGCTGTAGCTGAACCTAATTACATTTGTATTCATATGCAATTATTTACCTACATAACATATTGAAATTACGTATCTATGTATGTATGTGTGGGTGTATTTGAATTATTAGCAAGAATTAATACATACTTTTACACTCACAAATACCAAACAATTATGAACATTATCTAACTAAGGGCCATGAACATGGGGTCTTTCTTTATTCAAGTTCAAGTTGAGCGAATACAACGTAAGGAGCAAAAGATATTCTAGCACAGGTTTGTGCATCGGAACATGTGTATATGTATAGCAGTATCCTGCATCCTGCAGTCGTGTCTGAGTATTGATTATTGAAGTTCAGGACTGGATTCCGAGTTTAATACTTATTTACACTAGCTGATGTCCTATTGATCGATTAATGAGCATATTACAACCTTGAAAATTGCTAAGAGTTTGTTTGCTTTTTGCTTGGCTGTGTCGGTTCGAGTTGGTTAGTTTGATGTATGTAGCTCTAAATACAAGTAGATTTAGCATGCATTTTTTTTACAGATACATTACATTACATAACATTATACTTATTTACGTCATAATATACCACTGGCCTCGTAAACATTTATTGCGTACATTCAATTGATCTATTTGCTGTAGTACATTAGCTCACTGTCCAAATGGAAAACGTGTGATTCTTGTTGTTGTTATTCATCATTTTACTGGCAGATTTACTGTTATACCAATTAGGTACGCGTACATATACATTTATATTAATAATTAATATATGTTTTTTAAGTACTATATACCTACTAAAAACGTTATGTGTATATATTGTGTGTAGCTGGGGCTAAACAAAAGATGTTTTTTATACCCTAAGTTATCGCCTCGCGGTGAATGAGTGTGTGCTTGTGTGTGTATCTGATTTATCAATAAATATTATATGTCTTTTATGCATTTGGAGAAACATTAAAATAACATTTACTTAGTAGATACAAATGTATATGTATATAAAGAATTTACTATGTATATAAGTATATTTACAATATATTTATCTACTTATATGCATGCATTTTTCTTCTATATATGTAGTTTCTATTTACAATATGGCGGTAAAAGTTAAAATGTTTCAATTTGAGTTACACTTTGTTTTTCTTTTTAGCTAAAATCGTTTTTGATCTCACTCAATATCACTTGATTTCACTAGAATTTTTATTTGCTTTACATATAGCAATTAGCAATAGTTTAGATGTGTAAGTACAATAAAAGTTTATGTTTTTCTGCTTGAAATTGCTGAATTGGAGCTTAAAACCTAAAACAACAATGATCGTATAAGCTAATATACTTTTGTATGTACTCAATCATGTACATGTCGTAACTCTTACTAGCTAAACACGTATCGCAATAAAAAAAGTATCTGTAAAATGGGATGCAACTAGTTTAAGTAGAAAAACATGTATTAAACAGTACGTACGGGCTACTAGATTAAATCAACGTTGATTTGGACTTAGGTTATAAACTACAGTCGAGTCGAGAGTCAAGAAAAAACGCCTACTGTAAAAATACGGTAGGTATATTTAAGTGTGTAACACAAATATTGCATTTGCCTACAATAACTAGTTAATAACAATTCAATTTGAACTTGCTTCACTGTTAGTTAAATTTATGTACAAATTAGACTATGACTCAGATCTACATATATCTGTTAGTATCAAGCCCAAGAGTTGTCTAGCAGAGACAGAAAGATATATAGGTAGATAGATAGTGAGATAGGAAGAGTGTGTAGAAAACATGTGAAAAGTATGAATTAGAAAAATGCCTTTAACTGCTAAATACATCAAAATTACAATATTAATTTACTTACAATACACATTTAACTCTGAGCTTGGTTATTTTTTCATAAATGTCTGTATTTTACTTTACTTCCGACTGTAAACTAACTTTATATTCTAAGAGTGGTAAACAATGCTTGCTGCTTGCTTTACGCGATTGTCAATCGATGCTGATGCCTGGCTATCTAACCATATCTAAGAAGATGCGGTGGCCAGAACTGTTACTGCAGAGGGAGCCGATGGTACTGCTGATGCTGCTACTGCCACTGTTACTGCAGACAGAGTTCCATTGTTAGATTGCTGTTTGGAATTTGATGATTGTTCAGCTTCTTGTACTCGATGCGTTTTCATATGGGCACTGCGGCTTTTGACCTTATTGAAGACTCTGGTAAATACAAAGACAGAAGAGTAGCAGGTGTCTTATATTAGAGTCTTGGATTAACAGGATCAGTACACAATTTAACTAGAATGCGAGCTATAGAATATAAGCACAGTGAACACTTAGATGTAGAAGGGAACACAGATAAAGCAGAGAATTTTTATTATCTAAATTACATGCATATAAGTAGATGTATAGATTTTGCGGTGATGCATGCAAAAATACGAAAAGCTTTTTCTTTCTGTTCTATTTATTTAATTTGTTTTTGTCGGTATTCTGTTACTTAGCCTTGTGTGGAGATAAATTGCTTTGTTGTTATTATTTACTATGGAGAGTACAGAGTTTTGCTTGAAAGTTTCGAAACATAAAATAGAAAATCAATAAGTATAGTTGTAAGAGAACGAAAGAGTTAAAATTTATGTGCGCTGGAATTTTGTAACATAATGAATACAATTGCGACGATTCTTCAGTTGTGATCTCGAAACAATGCGTTATATACATATTTGTATAATTTAGACCAAATTTTAAGCCAATCAGATGCTCAGGATCACGCATAAAGCAAGCTCCATCATGGTATGAAAGAATTTCACATTTAGAAATTGGTTAAAATCGATGATCGAATTTCCCAGAAACGGTTATGTGGGTGTTATATTTACAATAGATCAAATGCAATTGCCATTTAGCGCTACATTTAGAAAACAAAATATGTAAGTACAAAAATACATAAAATCAGAGAACAGAGAGTTACGAAGTAATTAAGAGACAAACAGAAATGAAATGAAAGAAACGCGAATTGAAAACATAAAATTATAAATATATATGTCATATATATATATTAATATATATATATATGTATATATATACTTACCCTTGGCTTTGACGTCGTGGCCCAAGCGATATTAATCGCCCTGAGGCTGATATTGTGAGGAGTTGATTTCAGTAACGCCTATTTGCGACCTGTGACACTTCGCTTTAAAATTGCAATTTATTGAATCATTTATTGATTTGATGGTTTAAGTAGGCGCGCGTTTTGTAATTGGTATTGGTGATATTGTTTAATTTTGTTTAGATTGTCATCATGGAACAATAAATACAATACAACAACAATAACAACAATTATTATCGCTCAATGAAAACGTTAACTAAACGGCATGAAAATTTAGGACTGATACATGGAATTAACTAAATGCTGCAAAGAACACTACGAAATCAAGGCATGAAGCAAACCGAGGCTAAAATATAGTAGATCGATAGGAAAGGAGCTTGACAGTGTAGAGCAGAACTTACTATAAGAAATCATAGTTTTTCAACGAAAACAAAGTTACGTTCAAAACGAAAACGAAGGACGGAAAAAGGATAAATGAAAAACCAAAGTGATAGTTATTAGCCCAGATTTTTGGGCTCAATTACGAATAACTTTTAAGACGAAAGTTACGGCTACGATATAACGTGCTTTACGGCCTTAACTCAATACGGGCACTCAAATCGCTCAATATGCTTGCGTAATTCAAATTTTCATGAGCTGGTATTTTAGGTTTTACGAATTGTTGTGGATATTTTCTTGGGGGAATCTTACTTGCCGCACACCTTGCAGGGAAATTCACTCTCCTTGGCTGTATTGGAATTGTTGCTGTTGCTGCTGTCTTTTGATGCTGTCGATGTCGTTCCTGCTGTTCCTGCTCCTGCTGCTGCTGCTGCTGATAACAGAGCAGTATTTATGGAAGAGCCTGGTGCAATGTTGTTGCTGATAATATTGTTGTTGAGGGTGGAGTTATTGCCATTGGCGTGCGTTATGATTGTTGTTGTTGCACTGTTGCATTGATTGGTATGGCTACTAGTCTGGGATGCGCATGCGTTGTTGCTATTGTTGTTGCTGCTATTGTTGCAAGTATGGTTGTTGTTGGCACTAACTGCCGTGGCATGCTGGTTGTTGTTGTTGTTGTTGTTGCTATTACTGTTGCTGGCATTTCTGCCATAAGCGTGTATGCGAACATGACCATGCAGAGCTGCTTTCGAGGTGAAGCTCTATAGTTTGGTCACAGACGCGTAGTCAAACGCAGGGAGATATATTAGCAGTATGTACAAGAAAGAAAGGAAAAATGAATGTGAGTCAGTTTTGAGGACTTGTTCTTGTGCTATGGGGCTTGGCAGGACTAATTATGGTTATATGCCGGACTCTATATATTGCAGCATTCATAGACTATAACTTACCGCCGAGCAGTCGGCAATCTCGCAGACGTAGGGCTTCTGTTCCACCGTTGGAGTGCTCGCAGGAACTGGCTCCATCTTTAAGTGAGAGACCTTGTAGTCCACACATAGTTTTTTCCAAAAATAATACATTTGAACGCATTCGCCCGAGGTCTTCGTAAGTAACTGAAAGGAATGTAAATAAGATTGTGATTCCAGCAAGAGAGCTCAACAGTAACAAACATACTCATTCTTGTTTCTATTTTGTTGGTTCAAAGCTCTAACAAGCCAAAAAAAAAGGGATGTTGGTATCGATGCTTATCGATATTCAATTAAGCCCTCGAGAGGACGCAAGACAAAATATTCTTTTTATTATTGATTTCAAAGATGCGTGATAAAGATTTATCAGGCTTAAGCAAAATATTTTAGCCTGTGTTTCAACATTTGGGTAATAAAAAAATTCAAATAGGCAGAGGCTATCGGAAAAATTTTCCATAAATTATTTAGGTTATTTTTGCAATAGTTGGTGTAATACTCAAAAATATAATTGAACGGGATTGATCTCGTTTATCCCCGCAATTTGAAGAAAATAAACCGATCGTTTTTTTTTTGGTGAAATAAGTGAAGCGGATTTCTTGCATTATCTCTTAATAGTTCCCATAATTAAATGTATGCTACGGCAGTTGTAAGATCGAGAAAAACCTTAAGGTGAGGCATTGAGAAGCGTCAACCAAAGATTTGTTTTGCCTTAGTTCTTGTTCAATTTTATGTGGAAATAAAATTGCATAGCCCAACTATGAAGGTTACGAGAGATTTTAAGCTAAAAGACCTTTTGAAAACTTTCCTAAATAGTAAAATATAAACATAATTTTGTAAGTTACTAAAATTTACCTCGCTGGCAATTTTTCCAAAATCCTTCCCGTGCTTCTCCAGGCCACGTAGAAACTGCTCTAGCTCATAGGCAGTCCATTTCATTTGAAACGCGCTGGACTGCGTTTGCAACAGGGTGAGCACCGCCGCCGCTGAGTTGCCTTTGGCCTCAAGCAGCGTTTGAAGGGCTACCTCTTCGGAATGGCTACCCATGGGTACGGCCGAGGATTTGCTGAGATCTATATAACGCATTAGTATCTTCTCGTCTATCTGTACGCTTGGATCCCAAAGTAGGTCTGCACTCATTGTTTCCTTGGTGGATTCTTCGGGCGATTTACAGGCTGGGATCTGCGCTTGATAAGTGGAACCTAGATTCACCTTGGACTCATCGCAGAAATCAACCAAGCCCACAGGATCGCCAAAGTCATCGTCAAAGACGTCAAACATTCCTTGGCCGAGCTGCTTACGCACATTGCAATAGAGTCCTGTGCCCTTGCGATCTGGATTAAGAATTGGCGCGGGTGTGTAGTGGGTGCGCGAAGGCTTGCGTAGCTTTGAGCGATGCGGTGAAAGTGTTTGGAATTTCGAGAACTTGTGCACATCCTGTGCTCCATTTGAACGCAGGCGACGCTTTAATATGGAATTAGTTTGGTTGGACAGCGGCTGTAGATTGGAAACGCTTGGTGTTGGAGTGACTACTGGTGTAGCTACTGCTGCAGGTAATGCAGCAAGCATAGGTTTGCTGCAGTTATTTTTGATACTGTCGCCGCAGGCAAAGAGCAGGCTCGCATCCAGTTCAGTTGTCTGACCGGCATTCGAGTTAAGCATCGAGGTAAATGCTTGTTTATCGTTGGAGGTGCTGTTGCTGCCATAAAGTATTGGCTGCAGCAAACTATTCAGTGGCTGCAGCATCATCGACTGCTGATTGGTATCTAGGTACTGTGTTTGACAGGACACGGGAGTAAAGTTGGTGAGCATAAAGTCTGTCTGTTGTTCCTGTTGTGGTTGTTCAGATTGAATTGCAGACTGCTGCGGCAATTGCATTTGCTCTTGCTGTTGCTGGGATTGCTGTTCTTGTTGCTGTTGCTGCTGCTGTTGCTGCTGCTGTTGCTGATGCTGTTGCTGCTGATGTTGCTCCTGGTGTTGCTCTTGCTGTTCCTGCTGGGGCTGCAGTTGCAGTTGCTGTTGCAGTTGATGTTGATCGTACAGTACGGTGGTAGACTGCAACTGCTCGACAGGTTGTGTGGTCGATGGCGTGGACGTTGTCGTTTGGACAACCTGTCGCTGCTGTCCGAATTCTCTTGGTGAGGAGGACAAAAGCGGATCATCAGAGTTTGGCATCATTTGGGATTGCAGGCCCAGCCCCGGTAAATAGTAAAGGTCAATGATGTTCTCGCCCTGCTGCTCGCTAGTTAGCTGCAGTTGCATATTTTCATCGGGCAGCACCTCACGTAGCACCTGCTTAACATCTTCTGCAGATCCAATGCCACTGGTGAAGAAGGACTCAGACAGAGGCGAGGTAGCATTTCGTGAATCATTTAGGAACTCCTGATCCTCATCGAGAAATGAGAGATTCGTCTCGGCAAACTCCCGCAGGTCGCATTCGGCATCGTCCTCGGTGCTGTTCAAGAGATCTTCCACCTTAATGGATGGATCGAAGCTGCTTTCTTCCAGCACCGACTTTAGTTTAAGTATTTTCTCATTGTCATTATCACTGAGCTGCTGCATGGAATCGCTCTCGTCTGTTTTAAAATAGACTTGTGAAAAGTCTGTTTTATCGCTAAAGAACGTGTGACTGGCATCCACAAACTGAGCCGCAGCATCCTCTACAAAGGGTGAGGATTGAGCCACATTCTCGTGGCTAGAGGGTGGCGTCGGGTAGGCTAGTGGCGAATGCAACGGTGACGAAAGCAAGCCTAGGGTGTTGCTTCCACGCATGTTGGCGATGGCCTGGATTTGAGAACTGTTCTGCATGATAATCTCCTTGGAATGAAATTGCTGAAAGGTGGGTAACGGCGTTGTTTTATTAAGGTTGCTGGCTGTGCTGCTGTGTACAGGATCGGGCTCCAGCTTGACCAGCCGTGTTTGAACATTATCGCTGGCCTCACTGAGCAGCGAAAAGTCCTCGGAATGTTCGCTTTTGTGCACTTCATCCTCGTCATCGTTGAGCAGTTCCATAGTATCCACCGTTTGCAGTAGCATTTCCGTGTCCGACACATTGTACACCTCAGCGTCGTCGAAGAGATCGGATGCATCCGCATCGCTAGTGTAAGTTACAGTGTAAACACCTCCACCACCAGCTATGCCGTTTGCTTCACCGACACCCACACTCTCCTGGCTGGGCGTAATGGTAAGGGAGAGGGGAGTCCCGTCTGGCAATGATATACTGCTTGCAGAACAAGTTGTATTGCTGTCGTTGGTTGTGAGAGCGTTGCTAGAAATTAACTTGCTCTTGGTGGACACCACGTGCACATCAGAAGGTATGATGACGGTGCGATTGTTGTTGGTAATAATCTGCCGACCAGTCTGGACACTGCTGCTAATGGTTGTGAGCTCTGAGCCGCCAACATTGCTTAAGATCAGATTTGTACTGTTTTGTGCCTGTAGCTGTGTTTTCTTAGAGGCCACGGCAATGCGCGTTCCACGCTTAAGTAACTCAATTAACGTCGAGTCCTTGGAGTCCGCGTTGCTAGTGACACCACTGATGCTACCGCCGCCCTTAAGAGCCGTCAGTGCGCTCATGGTAGTTGTCGTTGGCACGTTGTTGGTGGTAATGGTAATGGTATTGGCACCACTGCCCAAATTAAGGGTTTTGGGATGTCTGTGACCTCCGCTGAAGATCTCAATACTTTGCGGCAGTCCAATCTGCTGTATACTTAGCCCAGAGGTGCTCTTGATAGTGGTAGCCGCTGGCAGCACCGCTGTAGTAGTACTGGTGCTGGTGGCTAGTGCCTGGCTCAGGCTGCTCGTGTTACTCTTCGGATTTAAGAAGCTCTCTAAGTCGCTTAAGGAGCGGCGAAGGCTGTTGCTGTTGTTGCTACAGCCACCAACACCTCCGTTGCTTGCGGTGCTGCTGGGTGGAGCAGGCACAACAAAGGCGCCCTGCGAGACAGGAGACGGCATTAATTTGAGTCGTTTTATCGGGGGCTTATGTCAAATCACCTTATTGATGTCCTTGCGCTTACTAATGATCTTCTCCTCGATAAGGGCACGCACACCTATGCTCGCAGTCTGCAATGGCGGTCCGTTGGAGTCCTTTTTCTCGCTGCGCTTGGTTTCCGGATCCTTTTTGAAGTAACCGCCATGCAGACGCATGTGCCCATTAAGAGCGGGTATATTTTTGAACTTGCGGTGACATAGATTGCACTCAACTGGCTTGTCGATCTTAACAATATTGAGCAGGTGGGGATTAATAGCGGCCACTAGCTGCTGGTTCAATTCATCGTCCTTGACCTCGTCGGGTGAACTTGAAGCGGACGCAACCATATCGGTACCATCCTCCACGGTTACGGTGACATTTTGCGCATTATTGAGCTGAAAGTATGAACAGCATTTTGGGTTAAAGGTCAATACATCTTGGGCTTATCCAATGCTTACCAATTGCATGTTCCACGTGCGTGGACGTGCCGAGACTGGTGCTGTCTCTGTATTGATCTTATAGGAGCTGACGCTGTTGGGCGAAGAGACCGTCACCTGGGCACTGGTTTGCTTCGTCTGTTGCATGATCTTGCTTATGAGATCGAGTTGCTCGCGCGTTAATCCATCGCCCTCTAAGGTTGCGCCATCACTAAGCGTAATTGTGGGCGAACTAGTCAGAACGGAGCTGCAGCTACCGCCAGATGTTGAGCATGATGAGGATGTTGTCGACGATGCTATTGAGGATGTCGAAGTGGTGGGCGACAGTAATGTGACTCCCGATTTAATGGGCAAATTCATAGCCTTGATCTGTTCATCGGACAGCGCAATGCCAGTGGCAGCATCCACCACAGAGCTGCCTGTGGAAATGTAGGTACGAATGCAAGTGGCCCCATCTGGCGAGCTGGCGTCCCCACTAGCTGTAGCCGGTGAAAGACTTAGAGAGCTGGTGGCCACACCCACACTACTGCTGCTGCTGCTGCTGCTTCCGCTGCCGCAGTTTGAGCTAGCTGTGGGCGAGAGTGAGTTGTTATTGAGCGTTGCCACGCCTCCATGGTGATTCTCTGAATGACGGCGGAGAGAACGCGCATCGCAATATGATTTGCCGCAGCCATCTGCCTTACACTCGTAAGGCTTCTTGTTGCGATGCGTCATCATGTGTCCGTTTCTGGGTTGGAACAGGAAATTTTGATTGAGTAGGTTAGTAGATCAGTAGATCGATGCAACGCTTCATTAACTTACAAGTGATCTTGCCGCTTGAATGCCTTCGAGCAGAGCGCACAAATATATTTCCGCTCGTCGCTGTGCGTCAGTTTGTGCTTGGCCAGTGCCGAAGCATTTCCAAAGATCTTGCTACAAATCTATAAAAAGTACACCAAAGCAAGAGAAATGTAATTAGCATCACACTCGGACCTCAGATGCCGTCTACATTACTGAAAGCTTTGCAGACGCCCCTATAGGCTATTTTGAAATTTTAATGAGCCACGTTGCGTATGCGTAATATAACATACGTAATTCGCAATAGATAATTATGCTTGTGTTTATGAAATAAGCATAACCACCGACGCAAATTTTGCCATGAATAGGACAATTTTTTACATAATGAGAATATCAAAATATCAGAGTTAGTTGATCCGTAGGTTGATTTTTATTCTTCTCAAATCGTGTATCGACTAAAGAGTAGAATTGCGAAAATTTGCTGACCCTATTTAATATAATCCGTAGGATAGGACAGTTCAATTTTTTAGTTTTTAATATCTTTGTGGCAAAATATTTTTGAAAACAAAACAGCAAATGATTTTATATTTGATTGATCCTGTGGGATGGGTATTATTCAAATGGTAAATGGTTTATGATTTGGCACTTGGCCAGTATAGCTAAATACGCACCTGACACTGCTGGGGTCCGTGACGAGTCGGCGAGGATAGTTTGGGTCGGCTCTTTCTGGGTGCGTTATCGACGGTGATAATGCCAATGCCGGTGGCTGTGGTGTTCGTGGATGCTGCTGCAGTTACAATACCAGGAACATTTCGACCGTTGCTCTTGAAGCTTAAACTGTGACCACTGCTGCTGTTGCTGTCGTTGCTGCTGCTGTTGCTGCTGCTGCTGCTGCTGCCAATGCTAATGCTGCTGCCCACGGATGAGGCGTTGCTAAAATTGCTGCTGTTGCTACAGTTGCTATTATTATTGTGCTGACTGAGTAAACTGGCTGCGCTGCTGGTGCTGCTGTTGCTCATAATCTGCGCCAGCGTCGTGACATTGGTGGCCGTGTTGCTGCAGCTGCTGCTCCGTATCAGGCAATTCTTTATGTAGTTGGTCTTACTGCCGCCAATGCTGCTAATGGTTGTATTTGTGGAAGCGCTTACAGTTTGCACGCTGATCTTATTGCTGGCACTTCGTCGCGTTATCGTTATTTTATTTGGACCGGCCAGATGAACTCCAGAGCTCGTTGTTGCTAGGGTGTTGTTCAGAATTGTTGTTGAAGTGCTGCTGTTTCTCCTGCTGCTACCATTGATGTAGCTACTTCGTTTACTGTTGTTGGTATAGATGTTAGTATTGCTGCTAGTTTGTTTGGTTTTAAGTGCTGAAAATGGCATGCATAAATGTAGTTAATCGATTCAAGCCCGAACCAGCTCTGACTTACAGGCGGTCTGTATGGTGCCCAAGACATCTGCTAACATGTCCGGATCCGGATAGCCAATGGTCAGCGCATTCTCCAATGCTGACGTTATTCCTGACGATGCCGAGAACGTTTCAAGCACTGTGACGCCATTCGCTTGGGTGCCTAATGACGATGTTGATATTGCATTTGTTGCTATTGTTGTTGCTGTTGCTGTTGTTGCTGTTGTCGTGCTGTCGGCTGCCTCCAAGGCATTCGCATCTCTTAGTTGCAGTGTTACGGAACCCTCGCTGCCGACAGATGCGCTGCACATCAGCACGCGCGGTGCGCTGAGATTCGTCAATGGCAGGTGTATGCTCTTAGGTACCTGCCGGCGGAAAAAATATAGAGGGGCAAAGGCTAAAAGCTGCTTAATTATGACTACACCTATGCTAATATACATTTTGTATCTGTGTGCTTTACTGAATAAGAAAGATAATTGGAAAGAGGCAGAGCTACAAACACAATATGCTGTCGTGTCCGTTCTAAATGACTGCCAAAACCTAAGCGACAACTGAAGGCGTCTTCTGCGGCTGTCAGACGGGTTTATGTTAGATTATTGATAATTCGCGGCAACTGTCACCTAATGAAAGACGCGACGCATAATTAATTGAATTTAAATGCATTTCACTTTGAGTCACATGCCTCTTTACATTGTATTGTAGTAAGCACGGAAGTCAAGCGTCCAACAATTGCAAACGTCCTCGTTGCAATATAAAATACTTAGACTTGTACGCATTTGTATGCGCAAAGCAATGTTAGATTTTAGGGGCAGCCTTTTGATATGTTTGATATGACAGCGCATGCATATATCTATTAAGATAAAATATAATCGGTCGATGTTCTGCGTTAGATCAAGTCATACATATTAAAATGTATATTTGCCAAATGGACTGTGGCAGAGGTGTGTGGTAATCAAAGTTTTATACGCCGCAACGTTTGCCCAATTATTGAGGCTTGCAATGGCCCGTAACAGCAAAACAAGAGCAAATAAACAAAAAAGTTGGGCATAAACTTCCAGAAGTGTCTGCGACGATAGCCGAAATTAAAACTAAAACGAAGACATTCGCATAAATTAGTTTCTCCGAGCACATAAAATTTCGCATTGCATAAATAAACAATATGTTTATTGTTTAGTTGTGCGCAAAGTGAACAGCGCACAAAAAATGAAAAGTTACCCTGATCTGGAGCAGTAGCCACAATTGGCCAACTGCCTAAGTGCCTAAGTGGCCAAATGCCCAAGTGGCCTAGTGCCTGCCTCTGTGGGCTAAGCAGCTCAGGGAGCGGCAATTTTATATGTTGCGTTAATGCTTTGTTTATTTTAAAGTGCTTGAACATACAATGAATGGACCAGGTGAGAGCTCTTTTTAATTGGTCTCTGGTTTAATCACTTATTTAATGAATGTTTTGGTAATTTGCGTACTTCCTTTTTTTATTCTAACGATATGACTGTTGACTGTTGTTATGTTAGCCGGCAGACGGGTAATAATATACTAGACAATTTTTTTATATTGATGCTAATTCTTCCCCAAAGAAAAAAATTGAGTGTGGTCCAGTCTCGCATAGCATATATTTGTAATTTTTGATATACATATGCACAAAACCTACATATGTGCACGAATACAGCAAACAAGCACATGTTGGGAAATGCATCCTTAAATATTTTCTTTATTTAGTTTGTTTCATATTTACAAGGCAAAAGTGTGGCATTCAAATAAGAGCATAAGCCAAAAATCAAATAAATATCATTATAAAACTAAACAAATCAATTTTTGGCACGAGTTATCGAATATACTCAGGGGATTATAGAAACGCCAAAATACATAATAAAACATATTTAACTTTCTGACAATTTTGCACAGTCAAATAAAAAAAGTTTATTAACTAATAATTTTATTTTTCATAGGGTGTCTTGTAGTCGAACATTCCCGACTAGAGCTTTCCCGCTTTTAATTACATACAACAACGCAAGTTATTTACTCGCGGAGTACCTTCAATTAATATTTATTATTGTTTAGCAGGGTTGAATTTGATGCGCATGGGCTGACTGATAAAAAAAAAAATCTCGGCTAACATGTCAGGCTGTCATATCACAGCGGGGGTAGCCATGAGAAAAACACCACACATCACCGAACATGACGGCACATCCTGTTGCGACATGTCGCGGTGGCATCTTCACCTGCGCCACGGTGCATGCGTGTGATGCGAATGTGTATATTTTTACAGCGTGATTCATATGTCAATCAACTGTCAATGTCACTCCAAAAAAAAAAAAAAAAAAAAAAATATTAAGAGAAGAAAAAGTAAGACCTTCGACGGGTTGAAACTGGCGTCCAAAATATAGGAGCAAGCGGTTCTGTTCTTCGCCGGAAAGCAGGGCAAGAATCATATGAAGACGGAGGGTTGCATGTTGGGCTGATTATTTCGACGGCTGATTTTTACGGTGGAGCATTTGTCTTACAGGCGTCTTCTCCTGGCACACATACAATTTTGTAAGTAAGTATAACATTCATATACATATTCATAACATTTTTGAGAATATGACAACATCAAATTGAATACTTTAGGCGGCAATTTGTCATCGGGTTTTGCTTATTAGTAAAATGAGTTGAAACACATGTTCAGGCACACCCTCTGGTTGCTGCCTCAGTTTTCCCAACTCATTTCCCTCCGCTGGAAAAGCCCAATGCTCGCGCAAAGGCAATGAATTCATCGTCAACGTCGCCGTCATCAATAAGCATAAGCCATTCATCAACCAAGTCCAAGTCGCAAGGCTGTTGGTCGTTTATGTTATTTTAAATTGGGAAATGTTTATGAATGATATGTGTTGCAGCCTGTTCAATGTTTAGAACGTGCTTAACACGGCGAATGCGTAATTTAATGAGTTTAATATTTGATTAGCTTTAATCTTAAATATTTTATTGCTTTTTGATGATTATTTATGCAGTGTGTGCTTGCGCGCTAGCTTGGCGCATGCTTGATATTGCTCATACGCAATGTTGGCCAATTTGATTATATAAATAAATGCTATTTATGCCATAGGCATAAATACGTGTATGTGTGTGTATGTCAGATCATACATATTGTGTATTATTTATCGTGCCTTATGAATGATTGCACACAAACGGAGGTTTTATTGTAGCTTTTGTTGCTGTTGGCGTTGCTTTTCGCGTACTTACCGTATTTATGGCAGCCATCGTCGCACTTGACGCAGTTGATGTTCTTGTTGTTCTTGTTCTTGTTGTTGTTGGTGGTGCTTGTTCTTGTTCTTATAGTTGTTATTGTTGTTGTTGTAGTGGTGGTGGTGGTGATGATGGGGATACAAAATCAAAAATCTGCAAAAAGGTTTGTATGATAGAACATATACGATTTCTGTATTTTTTTTTTTTTTTTTTTTTTTTTTTTTTGTTTCACATTGTTCGCTGCGCGTTTTGCTTTGGCGACATCTAATTGAATTTAACAGAAAAGGAAAATCGAAACAAGAACCAAGAAACCCATATTTGATGCAGTAAAATGTGCGCATAAAACCAAGAAAACATAGGATGATTGCTACAGAGAGGCCAAAACAAGTAAATGCATGCAAAGGGCCGAGGCGTACGAGAAGACGAAGGCTGATAAAACGTAGGAACAAAACATGGGGGTACAATCAAAATGTATGAAATATAGAGTACCTTAAATGGAATTGGATAGTTGGTTTTTGAGATACGGGATGGTGCATTTGGCCACTGAACTCACTGATGACATACTGATTTAATGATAGGCTGACTGGCTGACAGAGTGACTGATTGATTGGCTAGCAGGTTAAGGTATCTGTGACTGAGCATTGGAGCATTAGCGTAAATTTAGCAAACTATTCATTCCAATGTATAAAGCGTGACAGTGAAAATATCACCTTCTTTTTTGTGAAGCCTGTGAAAACGAAAGTTTTATATTTAATTTTCATTGTATGCATGCGCCGATCCACCATTTTCCCATGCTTTGTTCTCTGCCGATGTCGACTTCAACGTCGTCGAGTCTGCTTTTAAATTTTGTTTTGTAATTTCTTAGTTTTCTTTGTCTCTCATTATTTATTTTTGTATACAACAGTCTTTGTCCGTCTGCCCGTCTGCATGTTTTTGCTTTAGTTATTTTATTGCACGTTCTACAGATTTATTTTTATATTAAATAAACTATTTCCCTTCAAACCGACCCATACCGACCCTATCGACACATGCATGCACATGTAGGTCGCAAAAGAGAAATACGTTTGATTGTATGATGAGAGTATCAAATGCATTTTTTTTGTATTGTTAATAACATTAGGCATTCTACTGTGATGTATAATAATAATAATATTATATTACCTGTAAAAATGCAAATTGAACCATGGTACATATTTGCAATAAGAACTTGCGATCTCATAACTCAGCATATCCTACATTTTGAAGCATAAGTCGATTTCAAATTTTTCACGATAAGGCCCTAAGGACTTGGCTAAATATCACCTAAGCCAACCGTGCTGAAATAAAAATTCGTGCTGGTTTTGATTCAATACAAAACTCTATCGAAAGCGAACCAAACGTAATCTCTGATATATTGTCACGATTATGCGCCCATCTCCACGGTCGACAACCAGACATGCAGACCCTTTTTGAAAAACACAAACGCGGAAAATACTTATAAGCAGAACGATGCGGCGCACTCATAATGCAACAGACCAACATACAGACACAGATACAGATACAATGTGCAAAATGCTTTTGCTTTTCGAATAGCATGCAAATTTTAAACAGCTACGATAGAAGCCGAAAATGTGACGGCCAAGCCAAAGTATCTGAATATCTCCTCGTGCGGACGCTGCTTTTTAATTAAAAGTATTTACAAGCATGCATCTGTACATACTATATACATAGCTTGTAAATACATATGTGAGCGCACAGCACATTGCACAGTGGTACACTGGCACAGTGTGTCACACTGGGTCGACGTCGTTGCCAGGACGGTAGTAAGGCCCAAACACGCGGAATGTTGTCGAGCGCGACGACAATTTGTTTCAGAAAATGCTTGGCAAGGAGCCCACTAAAACACACCAATAAAGTGTCCAAGGGGCGACACCGCAGCAGCAGCAAGAGCTGAAAATTATACTTATCACTAAGAAATGCAGCCGAAGTAAAGGCCACAGCGCTAACCAATAAATTCCATGATAACTCAGTCTTTTGTATATGGATATTTAGTGTTTATATGCGCATGAATCTATATTCTTGTTTAATTGCTTGTTTGTATGATCTATGCAAAGTCTTGCAACTGTGGCCTGTGTCCGGTCATAAAAAAATATTGCGCCAGTTCAAATGTTTGTGTTTTCCCTGTTATGTTTTTATATGTGTGCATTTAGTCAGGTGAACACTTGAGCAAGCCACACAACAACTGCTGCCTTATTCATTAGTAATATCAAAAGCAATACGCATACGCACCATAGGCCACAACAACAGCTGGTAGCTAAACTATGGACAAAATTAGACGGCGGGCACAAATACACAGACAAGTGTACACACGTTTTCAATGTTAGACCACATGCTAAAAATATATTTTGCAACCGTGTAAATGCCAAAAAGAAAAAAATTAAACATATGGAGGAGGTCGGGTGAACGGAAGGCGGCAAGCATCTCTCATATCAAAATCCAATTAAAATCTTTCGTGTGCATTGAATATAAACAAATAAGCGCCAATCGAAAATGATAGACTTCTTTGCATAGTATATCCATATCTCGCTGCGTCAATAATGTTGGCCGGCAAAGTTGTAGTTGTTTATTCGTTAATTTGTACATGTCTCAGTGAGCCATAAGCTGGCCATTTTATTTTCATAATGGACAATTTCCGAACCTTATTAATCTTTGCTTTAGAGGCAAAGAACAGTTGTACGCGCAACGGGTACTTATTGCCACACGGCGGGGCTCAGCAGACCGCCTGTGATTTACGATTACATTCCGTCTTATTTACAGATTTTTATCGAATGTTTTGTCTAAGAGAAGTACCCTGCGTACTTGTTGTGATATATGTGTGCTCTCCGCATGGATTTCGAGACCTGACAGAAGCTTTATCAGACCAGAGAATTGGGTTAACAGTCTGTCGAAGCTGCAGTTTTGAGATTTATTTAAGCAGCTAATCTGCAATTAGTACAATTCAAGGTTTGTATGACCAAATTCAAAACATATATAGTTTTGTGATTTATATGTGGTTATTGCATTTTAGGATTTGTTTGCACAAAGTCATCTTTCACACAAAGCAGTTTATTTTCTTTATCGAGGCTTATTAGAATAATAAGCTCTGAAACTGTGGGGAATACAGATTTTCACTGTTCTCTCATAGTATCATGTCTTTAGCCCTAATAACGTCATGAAAAGTTACGTTATTCCGTACATTGGGCATTGAGTTAGCCAACATACCCTTAACAGATTTTAAACAGAGTATTGCATCGATTTGGGGAGATATCAGGGACAAATTCTGGTACCGGGAAACTGCGGATGACAAAGGAAACCACAGTTGTCAGTCTCTCTTTCCCTTCACGCTTCTGGGTGAAATTGAAAATAATTCGCGTATTTCCAAAAATAATATCAACACGTTTTGCGCTGAGTATAGCGTGAGGAATGAGGAATTTTAGCGCGCTGACAAGCAAAGTACAAGCAATGAGCTATAGTCTCAATCGCTACTTATACTTATATATTTTATTTTTTATTTTATTTATTTATTTATATGTTAGGATAAATTTCTGGCGCAGTAAATAAAAATTAATTTCTGTTTGTCATTTCGTGCGTGACGAATGCAGCAAACCTGTTGGCAATAAAATCAAATCAAATTTAATACGCTCACCAAATAAACAAGATTTGTCTCAACAATAGAAAACTGCACAAAAGCTGACTAATGCACCCAATAAATAATCTTGAAAGATGGTGAAGGTACAAATTTTGCGTAATGCAAATAGAATCTGCTATTTGGACGTGGCTTGCATGACAAACGAAACTGCTTAGGGTTGACACGGACGCTATTAAAGCTGATGATCATAATGATGTTGATGGTGACTGAAAAACAGAACCGCAGGCATAAATAACAACCCAGACGCCTGTAGCAGAGAAGGCAACCAAGGCGCACACACAGTGGAGCAAATAAAATGTTTTAATTAAATAAAGATGCACACACTCAGTGTTCATAATCATCGAGCGCCTGCCATAGTAAAAGGCACCTATGGGACAGACAGGGCAGAGACGCACAAAACTGTAACGCCGGCCAGCCAAGCAAAAATCTTGGCCAACGCGATAGACACGCCTTGTAAGTCACAGACGACAACGACAACGACAACGACAACAGCAACGGCAACGACAATGGCTGCACTCTTGCCAAATGCATAAACCAAACAAAAACAAATGCAACAAAAAAAAGATACAACCAAAATCGACCAAAAACCCATGCAGAAGTGTGCATTATTCATTGCAAGAAATGTCGAAATAAAACGCCAAGTTTGCAATACAAAACATTACATGTGCTCATCATTAGAAGGCACAGATAGAAGGCGCATACGGATACCGATATAGAAACAGATACATACATGCACACATATTATACAGGCACATATAGACAATATATAAATATATATATATATTTGAATACTATCGGAGGCTGGGAATGGCTTTGGCACAATCATCCACGTTTCATCTATTGTTCAGCATTGTTGTACTCGTTGCTGTGGCATAAGTTCCACTTCAAAAAACATAAAATACGCGCGCGTGTATTTTTAGCAATCCGTTCATTTGATTTACGATTTCATTAAATCAGCTAATGGATATGATCCTCGCCTCGCCAGCAGCATCGGATAAAAAGAAGAGCCAACCTGCGCTGATCAGCATTCATCCCACTCTCACTCTCTCCCTCTCTCTCTCTCTCTCTCTGTCTCTCTCTCACTCTCCCTTCCTCGCTCATGCGGGCACAACGTGTCGACCACTGCAGGCGACCACCTGTCGTTGTCTGTATGAGCCGCCGGCCGCCAGCCGCCAGACGCCTACCAATTATGTATTATTACGGCGAGGCCCATGGCAAACTTGCAATTCGGTCAGACCCTAACCAGTGGGAAATGGGTCTAGGAATGCGGCAGAGACATAAGCCGAAGTCCATCCAAATTTTAATTATCCCAAAATGACAACAGTGTAATTTGCTGACACAGTTCTATACAGTCTCTTCGGGATATTATGCATGAATTATCTATCTGATTTTTTCTTTTCAATTAGAAACCGATTATGAAATTACTTCTTTAGCTTATGTTTTGTTAGATTAATCTCATGTAAGGATTCCATATAATTTTATATAAATTAAGGCAAAAAGTGATACGGACTACACTAACAAAACTGGTTAACGATTGGTGAGACAAAACGTTCTTCTCCCTTGATGCAAACGGCTAAAATTTGTCACTGGGGCAGCATTTTGTTCGTCAGCTGCCATATTTGAAATGATGTTGCCGCCACACGTGCCACATTTGTTCAAAATAAATTTGAGCGGCAGCGAAGAGAAATTAATAGTTCATCAAGCAGCTAACGCTGACAGGCAGACGACGGGCATCGTCATCCCGTCGAAATGCTAGACGCAAAGCCAACAAGCCAACTAAGGGATACGACTCGACATTTTTCCATTGCTGTTCAATGTATTTTTTGGCGCATGTTCTACTACATTTTAGTTTTCATGTCGTACTTTCATAAATATCTTTTTAGTTATTTGCTTATTTGCCTCCTTTTTCTTAACGCGAGTAATAAATAATTGCATGTCTAACATAACGTGACTTTTACTATCTCTTTCAGCAATAGATTAAAACACCGCGATCTTTGAGTACTAAACTTCTTATATATTGCTCGATTTTCAGCGGCTTCCTTTTTGGCAACGTGTTGGTTGCGATACAAGAATTACCGCATACGTAATATGCCAAAAAAAAAACCTATCCACGTAAAAATAAATAAGCAAAAATAAGAAATTCCATTTTTTCGGTGACGTCAATTGTCTATTATTTTGCTTTTGTCATAAATCTGACATATTCGTGAGAAAAAAATGTTAAATCAAATTCAAGGCTCTGAGCTTGAATACATTACTTTGAGACTTGGCAGTGAAAAACTGAAAAGACTAAATGTGTTTATTTCAACTAAGTGTGTCGGTCGAGCTATACACAAATTTTCCGACAGCCCAATACTCTGTTTTCAATATAACGACAGCCCGAATCAGATAGAAAATTCCTTCTTAATAATGGAGCGTGGAAGCGATAGGTTCATATCACAAATTCTTTATCTATTACAACTGTTTTCGATATTCAGCATGGCAAATTGCGAAGCAGTTGTTGTATAAAACAAGCATCGAGTTCATTGTCGAATGAATCAACGGATAAAGAAACATCTCATACAAACAATATTTATACTTTCTCACTCTAGAAACAGAATATAAAAACTAATCGGTCATTTCTCATCTATATGGATAAAAAATGTTTTATTTATTTTTATCTCGGTTAGAAAAGAAGTTCTTGTACTAATAATCGAAACACGTTGCACTTTCTACTTCTTGATTAGACTGTCGATTATTCGTTTTATGTATCTGCCATAGACTTGACTTATAGGGGTAAATTAAGGCGAGTAAAGACTGATTGCAAAATTGTGAAAACATTAAGCAATATTTTTTCTATTATCATATTTTAGTGTTGACAGAGAGAGAGAGAGAGAGAGGGATAAAGAGAGAGGCTTGATTCGTAGTTTTTTCAAAAAAGTTTATTTTTCAATCAAAAACGAGTCCGTTCTTTTAGACGTATCATTCTGCAAGTTTATAAATAAGACAACATCTTAAAGATAACTAAATCAGACACTATTCGGATTTTGCCATATAAATGTATCCACATGCTCAGCCACGATATTTAAGATTAGTATAAGTGGCCATCGTATTTATGTGTTGGTGAATGAGGTATGTTACTGTGTGTGTTTGTCTTTGTCAGCACTTCATTGAAATAGTTATTAATACCACATAATGTATGCAAGTACATACATATATAATATACATTTACATACATTACGCACACAGAGATGGCAATTTTTCAAAATACATTGCCGAAACAACAAGACATCATAGCATAGTATTACGCGCTGCAGATGGCACTTGTTATCATAGTCATATCATATCACTTGTTAGTATTAGAGGAACAAAAAATGTGTCTTCAAAAAAAAAAAAATAGGCAAGCAACCGAAAATGTGTTGGGATTGCATTCAATTTGCGCTTACCTCTCTATTGGGCAATGCATTTGCCTGGGTCGTGTCCCACAGTGCGTATGATGAATTTCCTAGATGTTGATTGTCGCTGGCAACGGCAACGACATCAGCTGCGAAAATGACAACCAGCGTCTAATCCACGGCTATTGTTTTCGATGTGCCGTTTATATCTTGCTGTATATAGAAAAATTATATGAATGTTTCTATGTCCCGCATCCGCTTTGGTGTTGACTTGATTTTCCACGGCTCGTGCTTATGCTGAGGACGATGATGATGATGATGATGTTGTTGTTGCTGCTGCTACTGCTGCTGATCTGATTATAAATCTTGTTAATACTTTTCACTGATTTAGTTCATTTTTTCCTTTTTGCTTTGCTTGTTATGTGTGCTATTGTTGTTTTTGGTTTTTGTTTGTTTTGTTCTTTTGTTGTTGTTGTTGTTTGTTTTATTTCACACGCGCGCGGAAAAGGTGGGCCAAACACAAGGCGTCCATTTCTCTGACTCTCGCTGGTTAAGCAAGAAACAAGCTTCGCCTTGTTTTGTTATTGTACTCGCATTTAATGTGCAATATTTTAAAGGTATACGTAAAAGCTAAAGTTATACCTCTGAACAATTATTGTTGAAAGAGTGTTCGATTTAATTGTAATTTGTATTTTATATATTTTCTGATCGTTTGTTTGTAAAGAGGACGGCTTGACACGCATTTTAAACTACATACATATTTAACAGCTACCTGTATAAACGAAAGAATGGAAAATTGATTTATGCCGGTTTCAAACACACATATTTGATTCAATTGTTTGGAATTCCATCAGTCTCTGATGTACTTTTTTTTTTATTATATGTATATATTATGTATTATATAATTGCTGTGCTTCATTAAACAGTTTTGAATATTCTTTTAGTACTTTCGTTTGGCACTTTTCAACTTCAATGCATTCTTCTGAGTTGTTATAATATGAAAAACACATTTTTGCGCTTGGCTAACAACTTCGGTTCAGCTGCAACAACTAACGGACTAAGAAGTTGTTTTGCGAAAGAAAATTGAGAAAAGTGCTTGCTTCAAGCTATATTCTCTTTAGAAAAGAAGAAATTACTTAAGTTTTCAATGCGTTTTACTCAATTTGAGTTTGGGTCGTTGTTAAAATTTGCGCATTAAGCGCAAAGGTTATGGTTTGCTGAACCCAAAGGCGCCCTAAAAGTGTTCAGCTCCCTTCCGAGGCAACCTCCTGTCCCTCCCAGTGCAGATGTTCTTGTTATCGTCGTCGTTTTTATATTAAAAATAACGCTTGGCGTAGAAGTGTAGAAGTCAAAATAAATCGATAAATGGTTGCTACATAAAACAGCACACAGTCACAGTCACAGACACATCTACAGATACAGACACACGGCTAACAACATCAGCAACTACAAATATACAAACATCATCAGAAACAGCAAGAACCACAACAACAATAACAATATAAGCATCAACATCTAGCCATAAACAGCCTACGAACAACAACGACATAAAATGTTTTTCTCTGGCTCCTTGAATCGTCCTTTTACCAGCATCTCCCAGCCATCCGCCACCAAACAGCAGCCAGGCAGCATCTCTGCCAGCATCCTAACTCACACCATCAACTCGCTCATTCATGTACACAGGCCGAGCGGGAATGCCGAGCACTGCGTTCGTCGGTTCCGTCGTTCATTTTGTTCTCTATCTGTGTGTGTGTGTGTGCTTCTGTTCGTTTACACGCACGCATGCCTGTCTGCCATTTCGTTTTAAGGCACTTCGTGTGTGTACATGAGTGTGTGTGTGTGTGTGTGCGTGTATCTGTGCCTGTGTGTGTATGTGCGTGTATGCTTGTATTCGCGATTGTATGTATCGGAGGCTGATGCCGTTTCTGTACTCCACATTACCACATTTGGCATCGTGTGTTCTTCCGCGTAAGCAGGTATACACATACATACACTTGTATAAGTGCTTGTGTGTGTATGTGCAACTCCTACATTTCTTGGGAAAAATCAATTAAAATTTAACGCACGTTCTGTACGCACTTTATGCGAATCTCTGTTGCTGCCATTGCAACATCCACCTTACCCTGAAAAACGGTTTCATTCTGCGGCGGCCCTGCGAGAAGCGAGTTTAATTTGTTTCATTTGAATTTTAATTAAAAACTTTTATAGGTTCAATAACTCTCAAATGTACTAAAAAAAAAATAACAGCAACAAAATACGAAAAGCTGCGTTCGAAGTGAAAATTAGCCTTGGCTTCTGATTTTCATGTAACAGCTGTCTGCCAACTCTAAATTTACTTTTGTTGTTTGTTTGTTTGTAAGTATGCTAGTTGTGCTTATTGTCAGTGACAAGGAAAAAAGGGCGTGTCCAAATTTTAATTCACATTGTCAGTAGATTAGACGGCGAGAACGGCGGGGCGTATTCAGTTTATTTAAGCGGGGGCTTGTTTACCAACTTTTTAATTGGCGGTTAAGCCTGCTCAACGTGCACAGAATTATTTGGAATTAAGGAACTGTTACATACGTTTCTTGCTTGAGAAATATATAAAATGCCGTTGCAAAATAAATAAATCACGCTTAATGCCTTAGTGTAAAATATGCCCAGCTTTTTACTTTTACGAAGCTAAGTATTTATACAGAGCATCCATATGGCATTTTAGGTATTATTATAAGTTGAGCTTCAAGATAAAGATAAAGTTAAGTGAATATGGAAATTTACACATATGGAACATGACACTACGCCATATTTTCTAAGGCTGAAAACAAACAAATGACAAAAATCGATACGGATTATGTCATAAAATAGTTCCCATGTGATTATATCCTTCAAATCGGTAATGAGTTATCTTATACAATAAAATACATTTGATGTGTGTTAATTTTTGAAAATATCATATTGCAAACATCCAATTGTTTCTATGACAGTTAAATATTATATAATATTACGTATATCTCCTATCTTCTTCCTGCTAAAAAGGCTTCGCTCCCTTCTTCTATCGTTAGGAACACCCGATGGCCGACCAAGTTAAAGTTAAGTTTCTTATCTACATATAGAATCCCGCCCACTCTCTTATTTAAAAATAGAAAAAAAATAAAATAACACAAAATACGAACTCCAGTATAATTTAATTAAAATAATCAGTAAAAGTCAAACATAGCATTAGCTTGCTCACTAAGTTCAAAAGATTTGTTGTTTCTCAAAATATCTTAATTCATGTCAGGAGCCTATCTTACATCAATGGAATCACTAAACGTAGTTAGTATTCAGTATTATCATCAGATTTAAAAGCGGATACGAGTTTTTGTTGAGAAAACGTTTTTTTTTTTACCAATATATTTTTAACACTCCCAGCAGTAGCAATTTTGACAGTACTGATAATCAATGCTACAAGCTGAACATACTTAAACCAAGTAATAAAATTGTTAGTTACCATGCACCTAAGCTTAAGACGGAAATGCTGACTTAACAGCAGCTGAACCTAAACATGGTTCAAAATGGTTTTGTTTTTATACCCTGAACCCATTAAAAATGGGTAAAGAGGGTATAATGTATTTGTGCAAATGTATGGAACAGGCAGAAGGAAGCATCTCTAGCTCCATAAAGTATATATATTCTTGATCAGCATCACAAGCCGAGTCGATCTAGCCATGTCCGACTGTCTGTCCGTCCGTCAGTCCGTATGTATGAACGCAAGGATCTTAGAACCTATTAGGGCTCCATATAAATGACGAATTTGTCAAATATCTTGAACAAATAAAAATTATTTATACAAGATCGTTCCTATGGCGTCCCATATGAATACGATTTCGCATAAATTTAGGACACATAGTGAAATTTTTAAACGCCGAGCTTAGGCAAAATATGTAGAAAAACAAAAAAGTTTTCCATAGAACAATTTTATGGTCGACCGCTCGTTTCTATGGCAGCTATATGATATATTAGTCCGATCCATCCGGTTCTGACATATAGCACATATGTGTGCATCAGAAAGAGGCATGAATGCAGTTTCACGACGATAGTTTTAAAACTTCGCATAGAAACCGACAGACGGACAGTCGGACAGACGGACATGGCTGTATCGACTGTTGATGAAAATATACATGTATATACATATATGCGTTACACATCTCGAGACAAAATTATAATACCCCCTGCAAGGGTATACAAAAAATAAAACTGATAATCGGCGACCTCTCATCTGTTAGCCTGGCGTTTATTTGGTTTATAATATGCATAGACATCATCAAAATGTATGGATGTTGTCTTTTGATGAAACCACAAAACTCTTTGAACAAATTTCAACTTACGTATATCCTCCGATTACCAGTTTTAATAAAAAATCTGGGCGCATACAAATAAAAAACTACAAACCGAAACTTAAGGCAAATCTTTATCAAATCGAAGTAATATGTCACACGGTTTCTCAGCCATAATTCAAAAAGAGTATTTAATCTTCGGCGTTGCAGAGATGGCCACAGAGATGCCACTCTTTAAACAGTAGCAACAAAAACGCTTTAAATTATTTTCTTTCTTCACAGAATATGCAAACTTGTATTCGTTTATTTTAACTTACCGACCTATGTAAGAATTTTCTAGGATTTTAGTCGCGCACATAAAAAAAATGTAAGTACAATTTCTTAAAGCTGAGCAATGCAAAAATCACAATGCACTTCAAGCAATGTAATGCCAGCAACCACAATCAAAATACTAATCTTAAAACTCAACTGTACGCCCGGAAACTACAACAACTTGTAAGGTGCAACGGCAGCTTTTGCTGCATGTTTGCAATTTGCCCAGATGCAGCTGCTGGTTGCCATGGATATTATCCGGGGATACTGCCTGGACAATCGAGATCCTGCGCACAAAATTTAACTACGTTTTGCCTATATGTAAATAGCTGCTTCTAAAATTAAACTGAGCCCGTTCGATAGACAAAATGGACCCGCTGACTGCGAAAGAGCTGTGCAGTGTTGTAAAATGTCACAAATTCGTAAATTAAAGTCAACAAATGACTATATTTAAAAAAAAAAGAGCACAGCCAAGCATTGTTCAAATAAAAACTGACTGGCGTTTGTCTTTCGCTTGGTTTGTCAGTGATTAAGTACCAGAAAATGGGTGAAGGTCAGCACCGCTACCACTGGCCCTGCCCCCGAAAGAAGTGCGAAGGCTTCTAGGCGCACAGTACGGCTAGAAGGCCATTAACTAAAGGCAATGGCAGTCGCCCAATGCGCTGGCCGCAAAATGCACAACTGCTGCAAAGGTAAGTGCACATATATGGACTCACACACATATGGAGCATATGCAAGGCAAATGCAGCTGCATAGACATTAAAATACTGCCAGTTCGTGGCATACAAACAGGCGCGAATACAAGCACACATATGGGCGCATGTATGTGCACACATTGTGGCACGCATGTATGTACATCAAACAACAAAACAACCCCCACCCGTCGTATTTACTCAAACTGAAATGTTTTCATAATTTTACACTCACACATGGACAGACGCGCGCACAACTAACACACTGATAAATCTTCAGCTGGCGCCACTTCACTCCTTTGCTGCCCCATAAAACCCAGCGACCGTCTGCTGGCAGGCAGAGAAACATCAATACTTTGCTTGTTGTTGTTTGCTCTCTATTCATTCCATTCGCGCCCCCTACCCCAGCAGCATCCCTCCAATTACTCACACATTCAACGAGTACTCATTTAAGCGAAGCACCCAATGCTCGCAGCATAACGGCAAAGTTAACTCTCGCTGAATCGCTGAACCTGAAGCTGAGGCTGAAGCGTTCGTTGGATCCGCATTCGTTTGTACCGAAAATTCGGGTCGGTTGTTCGGGCGTTTTAGCTTCGGCAACGTTTATCCTTTTTGGCTCTATATCTATATCCGAATGATGCTGTTGGCGACTGCACAGTGTACATCATGTAAGTGAAATGTGTATTTCATTGATATACGGCTAAAATAAATAATTTAAAGATTTTCGAATGTCTTAAATCTTAAAATAAATATGAAAACATATTTCAAAAGAAATGAAAACTATATTCAGTTTTATACTTTAAATCTTTCGAACTTCCCAATATAATGCCCAAATACAATGCACACGTGCCAATTGTTGGAATTTATTTATTATATTGCGACAATGTGCAGTCGTACTACTCGTCGTATGTGTGTATATATGTATGTTAAGATACTTGTTGTTGTTTGTGTATATATATTTATCAATACGTAAAAATGTACGCATATCTGTAAGTATGTCATTTGGTTTATTACTTTTGCTGAAATGTATTTGTACTAGAGTGTATGTATACTATGTGGGCTACTATGTTAAAAGTTTGTTTCTCCCCGTGGATTATGGCCAAAACTTTGCTGCCATCTCTCTCCGATGACGCCAAAGCGACAAATTATTTGTGGAGTAGGTGGTAGTTGGGTCTGTGTGTTATGTGTTTGCTCTGAAAAAGTTTAAGGCTACTTTTTTGTTATTTAATTATTTCTCGTGTCTTGGCGATTCCCTTGTGAATGGTTGATTTCTCCCTAACTTTGATGCTGGCCCTAAAAAACTCTTGTCGCTGGTTTTGTCCATTTTATATCGTTCATTCTACCAATCTATTGACAGTTTTTCAATGGTTTCCAGCATATATATATATATATAAAACCGCTGGCTCTCATTCATTCGGATATAAATAACCGTTCGATTATCAACTTATCAAAACTTGTGTTTAATGTAAATTAGTTTTAACCACTATTTGAATTCTTTACAGTAATGTGTGCTGCTTTACCCCTAAACTTTCTACCTTGGACGTATCGTAGTTGTAGTACAAAGTTTCCTGGCATCACACACACATACACACACACACACACACACACATTCGTAAAGTACAGGAAAAATCCAAACGTAGAATTATGTTGAGCCATTATTTTGCTTTGCCAGCCAGCTGGGCGTCCTACTGGCTGGCTTGGAATATGTATCTACACATGCATATGTATGTGTACGTAGTCACATAATCTCGATTTACACACACAAACGCCAACAGGAAAACACTCAGTAACACTTAGAATTATTGTTTTTGGCTCATAATATATGAATTAAGATGGCACTTCTAATTTTTCTATATAAATTGACAACCCATTGACTTTATGTGTATATACATATATAGAGTGCACATTGTACGTACGTATGTATGTACGTATGTATATAATGCTTTGGAATTTATACAGTTATACACACAAATAATCGTACATCAACGAAGGGAAAACTCTCAATTTGTCGCAAAATTTTCTGACAACATATATTGATGTCCAATAACAATATGTACAAACAACTTTTTCGGGAAAGTTACTTAAAATATTTGGTTTTTATATTTTATTAACTAATTTAATTTTTCGGATACATTCAACTCTCCGCCATATAGAAGATCACGCACATTTTTTCACATTTTACCTGTTAGTTATTTAAAATTTATTGAAATATCGTTTTGTTTGTTATATACACGCGTTTATTTAGTTTAATATATGTATATACATATACAGAATTTATATATTTGTGTATGCAAGCATACATATGTTTTAACGGTTTGGAAAACAACAAATGTTGGGCTAAAAGTTTTATCAGCTCTTTGGTTATTTTACTATAGTTTCTTAGCTTTCCTCTATGTATTTTTGTAGTGTAGAAAAAATTAAAAACGCGCCGTTGGTATAAAAATGTTTTAGCTTATGCGATTTTGACGTTTTGCATGCGAACCAACAACTATTTTGGCCAAATGCGCGCTGTCAGGCCAGAAGCTCTCTAACGAAGATGCTTCTTGACGCAGCACTAGCAGAACCTAACGGCTGCTGTGCAAGAGAGCATTTAAGAGAGGGGGAGAGCAAAACAGAGAGAGAGAGAGAGTAAGAGAGCTGCAACGATTGTCAAACAATTGAGCTTTTTGCTAGCGTCTGCGCAGTAACAAATTCTTTTATTCAATGGCCCAAGGGCATTGCCAACAGAAAAGAACCGCGCGGTTCTTTCAAACGGAAAGCAGATGCTCCAATATACAGTTTATATAAACACTTCACTCATGCGTAGCTTCTACAAAGGTAAAAGGAATTAGTTAGTCATATCTTAAATTTGAAGCACAAGCATGACGAAGGACAAACCTTTATTGATATATTCTTTCTTTTTTTTTATATAGACAGAGCAATGTGAGGTGAGAAAGTGAAGTGTGGCTAAAATAAATGCGATTTAACATATATGCAAATAAAACGCGGCTATAACCTCTTCTTCAGTATATTTTGCGAGGCCACGATTATCAATGCGAAGTACCAATAAGGGTACTTTCCTTTAATTTCGACAAAATTGCCATTCGAGCTAAATACAAATCCGAAAGTTAAATAATATCAATCTGAAGTTGAAGCGAATTTAATATTTAACATTGCATAGTATTTATCAGTTTTACAAATATGATATTTTAGGATAACACGAATCAGTAGCATAAGCAGCTGCAGCACAAGAGAAAATTGTCTCCAAAAATTACTAGGAACGTGTACCAAAAAATTATTGCACAAAATTGTAAATACGAAGCACAGTCTATATAATATACATATAAACAAGATCCTTGTGTATAGTAGAAAATGAGGAATATGTGATCCAGTCCACCCACCATAGAGACTTAAACAATTCTTTTAATAAGGAATTTCTACTCGATAATTGGATCGAATGTGAAATCCATTAGCCCCGGCAATCCCGACAAGGCGATTGAGAAAACACCACATCTACCTAGTCTACTGCATACTCTTGCGATACTTTGATACTTTTTCAGTTAAATTTCAATTTGTTAGTCGAAAAATAGCATAGCTGTACATAGGCCAGAAGAATTTATTAGAAATGTGTGAGGTCAAGTCGCTAATTTGGTGCTGTTTTTATGGCTGTGCATTAAGAGTTTATGACTTACAGAGAATTCATAACATGGACACAGTTCTAAATTGAAAAAAAAAGATGAGGAAAAAACAATCACGTGAACGACGATCGCGTTTTCTGTTCCGCAGGCAAAGCAAACACTGGATCGCATCGGGGACGGGCAGGCAGACGACACGTCGTGGTTGACGCGCCGCGGATAATGATAACGCACTTTGAAAACCCAACAAAACTGTTTTCAAAATACAAAACACAAACACACACACACACACACACACACACACACACACCGCACACTTGCCGGAACCTTCGGGCTGACGAAGACGGGGTAGGCAGCGGCATCGATTGCCGCCTCAGATTTTATGTACTAAATAGATTTTGGTTTATCAGCCGCTATGGCGGCGGCGATGACCTGTTATGAAATCGAGCACGACTATAAATAACGCCGGTCTCGTGCGAGTCGGTATCATTCCGGATTGAAACGTGCTCAGCAAGGTACAGGCAAACCATAGACAGCTGCTTGAGATGATCTTGCAACTTTTCGCACTTGGCGCACTCATTGCGCTGGCCGGCGGACTTGGTAAGTGATTGGACTTTAAGCAGTATGCCTGAGCGACCAAAAAACTGACAAAACTGTACCCACCCACAACTGCCACAGTACTGCCCACACGCGAAGCTGAGCGACACATGCATCCGGAATATAGAGCCGATCCAGCCAGTCGATGGGTAGAACGCTCCAAGCGCGCCTACATGCCGGAGATGACATTCTCATCACAAAGGGTGGAGCAGTATGCGGATTACTGGCGCGGCATCGCCCACCAGACACTGGAGCAGCAGCTGGAAAGCAAAATGAGGCTGAACACACAGCTGGCCAAGAATTTAATATTGTTTTTGGGCGACGGAATGTCCATACCAACAATAACGGCGGGTCGCGTCTATTTGGGCGGTGAGGAGAAACAGTTTGCCTTCGAGCAGTTCCCCTATGTTGGGCTGAGCAAGACGTACTGTGCCAACATGCAGGTGGCTGATTCGGCGTGCACGGCAACCGCCTACCTTGGTGGCGTTAAGGCCAACTATGGAACTGTAGGCGTCACGGCTGCTGTGCACATGAAGGATTGCCATGGCCAATCCCAGCCGGAAAATCATGTAGCGTCTATTGCGGAATGGGCCCAGCGCCAGGGCATGGCCACGGGTCTGATCACAACGACATCAGTGACACACGCCTCGCCGGCAGGTGTCTACGCCCACATAGCTCATCGCAATTGGGAGAACGACGCAGATATTAAGGCGGACGAGGCTGATCCAACTATCTGTGAGGACATTGCATCACAGCTGGTCAACAGTCAAGTGGGTCAAAATCTGAATGTCATTTTGGGCGGGGGACGCCAAAACTTTTTACCTGAACATGTCAGGGATCCGAACGGAGTTTTGGGACGCCGCAAAGACGGACGTAATCTCATCGAAGAATGGCAGCGACAGCACACCAACAGCGCCCACTATGTACACACACGTAGACAGTTACTGGAGCTATCCAATCAGACGACGCGCGTGCTTGGCTTATTCGCTCCATATCATATGCCCTACCATCTGGATGCGGATGTCCAAGAGCAGCCGACGCTGGAGGAGATGGTGCAGGCGGCTTTGAAAATCCTACAGCGCCAGAGTGCCGGACGTGGCTACTTTCTGTTCGTCGAGGGAGGACGCATCGACCATGGACACCACGATACGTTGGCCCTGCGCGCCATTGATGAGACGGCAGAGTTCGACAAGTCAGTGCGTTGGGCACGCACGCACAGCAGCATGGAAGATACATTAATTGTGGTCACCTCGGATCACTCACACACCATGTCGCTTGCAGGCTACTCAAGTCGCAAGAACGACATATTTGGCATCAATGACGGTCAACTGGCAGCCGATGATTTGCCATATGCCACGCTAAGCTATGCCAATGGACCTGGCTATAATACCAACTATTTGAAGGAAGGCGGAGCCATCAAGCGCAAGAATCTACGTTCCATCAACATGAAAAACAAAGACTTCATGTTCCCTACAGCGGTGCCGCTGGAGTCTGAGACACACGGCGGTGACGATGTGGCCGTCTTCGCCAGTGGACCATACGCTCAGCTCTTTTCCGGCGTCTACGAACAGCACTTCATACCACACGCCATGGCCTATGCATCCTGCCTGAGCGATTCACGTAGCATGTGCTCAGATGCAGGTATAACCCGGCGACCGCATTGACGTTGAATGACTTTGGGGTCTTAGATTAATGCAAAGTCAACAGTAATTATTGTACTTACGTAACTTATGAACAAAAAAAAAAAAAAAAACATTTATAAAATAGTGTATTTAATGCAATTGCTAGACTTTAAAATATATAAATAGATAAGCAAAAACAGAGTTATATTTTTCTATCCTTGCATTAGATTACAGACTGACTCATTAAAGAACATATTCATACAGCATAAGATAGACCATAATTGCTACCTTCCAGAACTAAGTATATCAAATTAATAATAATTTATATCGGAAAAGAATATAATAATCTTGACGCACGGGTCTATTGAATATATTTCGCTACTTAATTGATTTACTTGTTTTGCCAACAGTCTGGTTTTTAAGTAGAGGTTAAAGTTAAAATTGCTTTTGCGGATAGATTCTTTGGTTGAGTGAAACATTTATATGAAAGAAAGACAATTAATAAATATAATTTAATTAACTATTAAAATAGAAACTGTTCCAATAAATTAATAATAGTTTAGTTGCGTTTTTTAGGGCGATGTAAATGATTGCAATAAAAAGCGTTACACAAATTGTAAATATAATTTCTCACATTAAATTTTAAAAAATAATCGATAAGTTCTAAAAAAAACATCAGCTGTTACAATCTTACTATCGATCCCCATGCATCGATTCTAGAAGAAAAAAAACATCGCGTCGCTCGATGTATCGATGTTACGTACACCACTAACAAAAAAAGGTGAGCATAGTAAATGTTAAAAAAGAGCAAGCAACAGCAGGCGCGCTGGTGGCGAATTGTTTATTAAAGTGAGTAATATTTTGATGGAACCTGTGAATATCAATAATATAGATAGAAGCTGTTCGGGTTATTCGGCTGTTTGGGCAAGTAAACCTACGCTGCGCCAAATAACCAGTTTTACCTTGCCCCCAAGACGCAGAACTCTGTTTGTAATAATAACAAAAACAAATTTTATTGCGTCGTCGCCGTGGTTGTATGTCTTTTGCATCATTTTATATTGAAATCACAAAACATAATGTCTGGTACAATGGCAGTTAAAGTGTCCAGTTTTAGTGAATTGTGTTAGCAATAATATATCCCTTTACATATCCACGTTTACATTCGAATTTCGTGTGCCAGTGGTGGATAGCGTCATTTCAGGGCTCGCAGCTTGATTTATTAATAATTTGCATCGCTTATATACATATATGAGCAACCGTATCTGAATATGTGTGCCAATGATTTTGATTGTTTTTGCTCTCACTATAGCCGTAGCCCCTTTGCTCTGTTTGGTAACTTTATTCACCTTGACTCCGAGTCGACGAGTGCAAAAGTCGTTTAAGCGCTAAAATGGTGAAGCTTTTGTTTATATGTATGTACATATATACATACATACATGCATGCATATTTATATATGTACATTTCATTTTATTGCTGTTTTTGCAACTTTGGATCGTTGCGCTTCATTACACTTCTAATAAATTTCAGCCATATCAAACATGTGCTTTGTCTTTTGGTCATTTTATTTTTGTTTTATACGCAATTGGCTGGCTTATCAGCTGTTCACAAACCAAGACTCCTAGCGGTGCTAGCCAGATTAGCACTGTGTTTCCAATTGGATGTTTTATACATTTCACGCACATATGTACATACGTGTGTACACACATTTGTACTCAAGTATCGTCAGCGGATTCCGATGTGCCCACAAGTTCCATAGAAAATTAGCTCTTAGAGGAGCCTCTCACTTGCATCGATGACTAATGTATAATCATTTTCATTTTCCCAAAGATATTATTTTGTATACTCTGCAAATTTGTTATCGTAAGCTAATAGATATTGATCTGAATCTGAATAGCCCAATATTGAATACGTAATATTTTGGCATGATATCTGTTTCATCTAAACATTTAAATGCAAGAGTAGTTCTTGGCAAAGCCGAAATTTCAATACCCTTCTATGGAACTCACAATTGATTATTCCAACAGAGCTGTATAATATCGTAGGCCATACTTAACAAACAAATTCTCTTTCAAAAACATAATGAGCATGCCGAACGCTTCAAAAGTATATCAATATATATATATGAACGTTACACATTTCATGACATAACTATAAAACCCTCAACAAGAGTATAATGATCATAAAGAATCTGCTGCTGTCACATAAGAATTTGAACCGAGCATCATGTAAAGCATTGATATTTGTTTTGTTATTCTTATTGTTCCTCTGTGATTATTTTTTGCTATTTGCCCAATTACCTATTTCAAAGTTTGCATTTTGTATGCAAGCGTCCGACCCCCTAGTCGTGCGACCTTTAAACTGATTAATCGTGAATTTCTACATGGGCTACCTATTTATATTTTTATTTCATATGCATTAATTGTGCTCATACCTTTGCTCACTGGCTCTCTCTCACTCTCTCGCTTCCTCTTTATATATATTTATATTTTAGTCTCTTTCCATTTCTCTCTGTACTTGTGTTTTTCATTTGTTTCGGTCGATTATCCATTCGATCACAGACGCTAGTTTCGGTCTGTTGTTGGGTTTGAAAAGGGATTTCAAACTCGCGGGGTTAAAGAGATTACACGCTCTTACTTTCTCTCAAGAACATTCGATATACTTGAGTTATGCTGATGTTAATGCATATGTATGGAAAATTGCAAAGTGCGTGAGTTTGGTAGAATATTAGAAATATCAAACATATTTGATCGGGCAATCCATTTTAAATCTTTGTTAAAAACACATGCAATTCTTTATACATTTACGAAAGCCTTGAATGGCGCAGATTTGGAAAGTCATAAGCCACCAATAGCAACGTTTATCAATCAATTATATGTGTTTCAAACGTTAGGGTACATTTAATCAAACTTGCTTTTGGATAGTCACAACTGGTTTCATTTTCCACGTGTTCTTGTTGCCTTCTATCTGTCCACTGGCTAAATTAGTTGCTTATCTCAAGAATCGGCAGATACAGTGGCAGGGTCTCCATGGTGTCCGAAGCGGAGCGATCAAAGCACAGCGCATGCCGAGGAGAGGTCATCAGCTGACGCACGCCAAAGGCCACATCTTCAAAGCCAATGCGCTCGCTGGGCTCAAGCTGCCAGCAGTTAAGCAGCAGCTGATAAAGATCGCCATAGACATAGGCGGGCTGAGCCGGACGCACGCCAGAGCGTATCGCCTCTAGTAATTGCTGGCTGCTGGCAACGTTTGCATAAGGCGTGCCGCCCAGGGCGCAGCACTCCCAAGCGACGCAGGCGAAAGACCACACAACAGATTTTGTTGTGAAGTGCTGGTGTCGCAGCACCTCGGGTGGTAGCCAGCGGCCCAGATCTAGCGCCTGGCTATTACTGTTCACATAATGCAGTGGTCCGAGAAGGCATACCTTAAGCTTGGAGTCGGCGCTAACGTACACACTGTAGCTGGACAGCTGCCGGTGCAACACCTGACAGCTTCCCAGGTATGACATTGCGCTTGACAGCTCGTACATCCATTGTAGCACCAGTTGCTCAGTTAGCACAGTTAGACGCGGCGCTGGCGCTGCCTGACGGCTCTCGATCAGTCGTCGCTTAAGGCTGACACGCTGCAGCTCAAAAACCAGATAGAACCAGTCCGCACTTGCCGAAATGCCATAAAAGTCTAGGAGCAGCTCGTGATGGCGCATTTGTCTGAGCTGCCGCAACTCACGCAACAGCTGCGCCTGCCTGCTACCGCTCAGATCGTTCAATGATAAAACATGGAGCGCACATTCCTTAACGGATTCAGCCACATTGAGCCGTCCTGTGATAATCTCTCCGTAGCGCCCTTCGCCAATAACATCGTTTGCATTGAGGCGCAGTCCATTGCGCGGCAGACGCTCCAGTCCCTCAAGCGTCGAGTGTAGCTGCTGCTTGAAGCTCTCCAGCGAAGCCGGCTGCTCGTCCTCCACAAGATATCCGTTGTTCTCGCGCTCAATGATGGGCGTCTGCTGCGTCATCTCGTGAGCATTGCGTCCACGTCCAATCAGGCCGCGAGCGTGACAGGTCTTGTAGCGCAAATAAAAGTATGTGATGAGGCTAAGCAACAGGCAGCTGCCGAAGATCACACAGGTTACAGCCAAAGCCACCACTGACGACTGACCCTTATCAAACGTTGCATAGCTGAAATCATCCAGAGAGCTGGCATGTTGTGCGTGACTGCTGCGCGTGTACAATGTCTTAGTGATGTTTCGCAGTGTGCTTACCTATGGGAGAGAAGCCAGGATTATTATTATTCAGGAACCGAATTAACGATAAGACTGTTTTCCTGTTATTACTTACCACGCCCAAGCTAATGTGCACATGGGAGAGCTGGTCCTGCTCCTCTGACAGCTGCTCCAGAGGCACATTACGATAGCGTCCATAGCGTTTGCCATCTCCTACAACAAAGTGCCTTGTGCGGTTGTCCTCTGGTCGATCGTAGCTCAGCTCTGCGGCTATGTAGTAGGGAACGCCGTTTTGCTGCGCATCCTGCCAGCCTCCCAACAGCTGTTCATCAAACGGCTGGCTCAGTGAATCGTCAACAAACTCGACAACAATAAGAAGCTTCGATACCGGACCATTGTCGTTGTGTACGGGCGCCAACTCAACGGTCATGCTGTTTTTAGTGCGGCTGAGAATCTTGGGCTGTGCGGGCGCTGGACTTGGTAAGCCCACCTCTGTGCTGGCCATTAGTGTAGCATGGCCGCATTCGCTTTCTTCTTGTTGTTGTGCACAAATGGCGCGAACACTAATATTGTAAAGTGTCGCGGGATGGAGATCAGTTAGCTCGAAGCGGGTCTCCGTGCTCTGCACTATAAACTCGGGCTGTAAAAATGCGGGAAGCGTTGAGTAGGTCTGAACAACCTGACATTTGATCAGAATGTTGGAAACTTGCTGAGTTTGTGGCGCGAGTGCCTCGGCACCGCCAGCTAGCAATAGCTTGTTGGGCTCATAGGCGTCCCAGGCGAGGCTTATGCTGTTCTCGGTACTGTTGACCATCCGTAGATGATGTGGCGCCGGTTGCCTTAGCAACGTTGTCGAATAGTAGGAATGTACACCCACGCCTCCGCAATACTGCGCCTTATTGGCCAGGCATCGCGTGTGGCACAGCTGATCGTCCTGCTTTTCATGAGGCTCCAGACGATTGGCACAGAAGCACTTCTCGGCAGCCAGGACAGCGTACCTGTGGCCCTGGTGCTCACATATCTCAATGCACGTTTGAGGCGTCTTTGCGTATACCGATTCCTTCAGCAGATCTGTTCGAGCAGTATAGCAGCCAACGTAATAGTAGACGGGCTCCTCCTCCGGAATATTTTGAGATTCCTGCACGGATACGCAAATAAAACTAAACAACAAACAAATTGCCACGAGGTAAACATCTGCGACGTGCTGCTTCGGGCCATGAAAGCTGGCGATTGGGCGGTGTCCACACTGCATGTTGTGATGGCGTACTCGTGCTAGTGATGGCGAGTGATGGAGCCTTGTGTGCCCGGGTGGGCTATGGCGCGGACCCTCTAGTTTTGTGGTTTGATTAAAGCTAATTAAACACTGCGCTGCTTAATTTAAGCGAATTAAGCCTTTATTTCTCGTATATTGTTTTCCCTGTGTCGCGTCCAATGTGTTTTTCTTTCATTTTAAGCGCTGCTCAGAACGCAACTATCGCTGCTGCTGCCTGCCTCATTTGCTTTGGTCATTGTTGCGTTGTTATTGTTGCTGTTGCTCTCAGCAACCATTCCAGTTGACTAATCATGCTGCCAGCGTCGACGTTGGCGTCACTGTCGCTAGTGTTGCTGTTACTTTTCGCTTGCGATGTTTACATCCCAGTTCGAATAAATACCTGATGAGCCAAAAGGAGACAACTAACTCGCCGATCATAGCTGAACTTGTTGATCGAGTCATATAGTTGGCTCTGTCTGACACCTGCACCACGTTCTGAGCACAGCTTTGACAGCACGTAAGACTGTCAGACGGTGTTACCAGCAGTGTATAAATATTTTAAAAATACAAACTCTGGTACACGAAAAACTTGCACTCATAAAAAAATAAAATGGAACGTGTTAGTTCTATCTGTTTTTGTTGACTGCTGTTAATTAAACGAAATAATTATTACAGCTGCAGCTGCTGAGCTGAACAATCTGACAGCATTGCCACTAAAGAAGAGAAGGCTAAAGCAAAAGAGAGCGGATGTCAGTGAGAGAGATTTTCGATCATTCGCTCATTTAGATTCTCATTGGATATACGAACAGCGGGTGTCTTGCGTACTGTGCACTTCAGTTTAGGTTGACAGCTGTGGGGACTGTCACTTCGCCGATTTTGCTTTTAATTAAATTTGCTAAATATTTTATTGCAACAAACAGATGAAGCATACATATTCACATTTACATGTAAAGTTTTCACCGACATTCGCGTGTTTAGCATTAGCATGCTGTTGCTGTGATTATTGTTGTTTTGTATTCTAAACCAGTCGCTTGCAGACATTTCGTTGTTTTGATTATGTTTCCAATTAGAATCTAAAGCATTGCTCAAGGGCGTAGCGACAAAAAAAGTTGTCAACGTCATCAGCAGCAACAGCGTCTAGGGTAGTTGGAAAATTGAATTCGGCATTTAATACTAATTGTATGTGACGACTCAGCAAAAATGAACTCAATATAATTACGTGCCGAATCTACGCACCTGAACTGAACAGGCCGAACAAAATTCATCTTCCGTATGCTGCTAGCAGTGCCAAGCAAACTAGCGCAGAGTCAAATTTATTTTTGGCCACCTTTCATAATTGCAGGCCGCCTGACACGTTATGCCAGCACCCATGCCAAATTTAAAAAGAAAAAAAAAAACACAGCCAGACTCACGCATTTGAATAGAACTTGCGCAATTAACCGTTAGTTCAATTCAGTTGGCGCTTGTGAACTGACAGGATAGCATCTATATATAAATATGTGCATATACATATACATATATATATATTTATATATAGCTTTCTATTTGTATATAGCATCTACTTGCCGTTTACAAAGCAACTATTATTAAATCTTTCACTTGTTTCATTGTGTTTCTTTTTGCAGTACTTCAAATTAACATTGAAAACCAAAGTTGGAAAACAAAGCACAGACGCACACACGTACACACGCACACACCTATATACTCAGCTTACACATGGAGAGGACAGCAATTGGCGGCTCGGCAGTGCAGGTGATCAATGCATCCGAGGAGCACACATTTGTGCTTAACGAGGATGCGCTCAGTGAGGTGCTAATGCGGGAGGAGGTCAAGGATCGCTACGTTTGCGTGGTGTCCGTAGCCGGTGCTTTCCGCAAGGGCAAAAGCTTTCTGCTAGACTTCTTTCTTCGCTACATGTACTCAAAGGTATAGTGAGTAGATACATATGTCTTGAAGATTTTTAATCAAACAAGTTTTTTTTAGTATGTGCGACACGATGTCACGGACTGGTTGGGTGATGAGTCGGAACCTTTGTCGGGTTTCTCGTGGCGCGGCGGATCGGAACGCGATACAACCGGCATACTGATGTGGTCCGATATATTCCTGCACGATTATCCCAATGGCGACAAGATTGCTATTATTTTGCTGGATACACAGGGTGCCTTCGATAGCCAGAGTACCGTACGCGACTGTGCGACAGTGTTTGCGCTTAGCACGATGCTGTCTTCGGTGCAGATATATAATCTCTCACAGAATATCCAGGAGGACGACTTGCAGCATCTGCAGCTGTTCACCGAATACGGCCGTCTGGCGCTGGCCGACACCGGCAAGAAGCCATTCCAGCGTTTGCAGTTTTTGGTGCGTGACTGGAGTTTCCCATACGAGGCGGAGTACGGTGCTTTGGGGGGAGACAAGATACTTAAGCGTCGGCTTGAGGTTTCCGACAAACAACACCCGGAACTGCAGTCATTGCGTCGACACATTTCATCGTGCTTTACTGAGGTGGCCTGTTTCCTGATGCCACATCCTGGTCTCAATGTTGCCACAAATCCACAGTTCGATGGCCGTCTTAAGGATATTACGCCCGAGTTCAAGAACAGTCTACGAACGCTGGTTCCTATGCTGTTGGCACCTGACAATCTTGTCTACAAGGAGATAAGTGGGCAACGCGTTAGAGCCCGTGATCTTATTCAGTACTTTCAATCGTACATGAGCATCTATAAGGGCAACGAACTGCCTGAGCCGAAGAGCATGTTGGTGGCCACGGCCGAAGCGAATCACTTGACTGCTGTCGCGGCCGCCAAGGAATTGTACAATCAGCTCATGGAGGAAGTGTGTGGCGGCACGCGGCCTTATCTAAGTACTGCGCACCTGGAAACGGAACATTTGCGCGTTAAGGACAAGGCGCTATTTCAATTTGCCACAAAACGCAAAATGGGTGGCGAGGAGTTCACGGAGAAGTTCCGCCTCCAATTGGACTCTGATCTGGAGGAGGTCTTTGTCAACTATCGAGCACACAATGAAAGCAAAAACATATTCAAGGCGGCACGTACGCCGGCCGTGTACTTCGCCTGCGCAGTCATCATGTATATAGTTAGCGGCATCTTTGGACTGGTAGGACTCTATACATTTGCTAACTTCTGCAATCTGGTCATGGGTGTAGCGTTGCTGACGCTGGCACTCTGGGCGTACATTAGGTGGGTATCGGCAACTGAAAACTCAATAACTGAGCTTCCAAACTAATTCTCAATCCATTTGCCATACCCACAGATATAGCGGTGAGTTGAGCGACTTTGGTGGCAAGCTGGACGAATTTGCAACTCTCATGTGGGAGAATGTAAGTAATAAGAGAAGGAATTCAATCACATGATATTTATATTAAGGTGTTCCGTTTGAAATATTTACAGTTTATGCGTCCAATCTATCAAGGTTGCATGGAGAAGGGCATTCAACATGTGGCCACGCATGCGGCTGAGGCGGCCATTGGCGGTGGTGGCAGTGCTAGCGGCAGCCGCTCGCCAGCCAATGCGGTCAATGGCAAGGTAAAGCGCTCATGAGAATACGCCCAAGTCGCACAATACAAAACGCAGCCGCCTCCCGGGATACACCAGCCGCAAACGACTAACAACAATAACAACAACAACGTTACGTGCAAGTCAAACAAGAGAAACAGTTATAACTTGTTGAACAGCATTTGGGGCAAGTTAAGCGGAGTACCAACTCAGCCCCAGACATCGACCAGCTGCTCCGTCTCCAGCTCATTAACAGCTGGTTCAAACAGTCGCAAAAAGCGTAAATCAAAGCGCAATTAATGAAGTCCCTGTCCGTTGGCCGCGTTTATAAACTTTTGAAATGTCTTCGTTTAATTTGTATAAATTTAAGCCCTAAATGGTTAGAAACAAAAATTTAGTAATTAATTGCCCTAAAAGGAATATTGTTTTTTTATATTGCATACACTAATTTTATAGCTCAGTGCAGCGCGAAGTAATATATAACTATACATAATATAATTAGTAAGTGGCTCGTATTTGTTGAAAATCAAATTTTAAATTGTTTTTTATATGCATATTTATATGTACCTATACTGAAAAAGAAATCATGAGACCCGATCTTTAACGCTGTAATATAAAGAAATTGCTAACGAATTTAAACTTGTTTAATTTTCATGTTTTATCTGCCCCTCGTTTATGTGAACAATTCTAATTCTTGCCCCACGCACCTTTTGCTGTAGAAAAGTGTAAGCAATTTAGCAATGTACAAATTAAATAAAATGCACATTGTTGGCTCGTTTGTTAAACGTACACATCATATTATTCAACTTTAGAAATTAGGCTGAATCATTGCCATCTACAAGAAATCCCATTTTGGTAAAGGTATTTTATTTTATACGATAGTTTAATTCATTTAGTTATTGTTAAATGTAGTGTAATAACATTTTGATTATGTTTAATGATGACAAATACATAGCTTACTAGCAGATATATTTTGATCAAATGCAAGCAAAATACATCGATTTGGTTCTTTTATAATATATTGATCTTTCTTAATTCAGTTCTTGGCGTTCTTGCAGCACTCATGCTCTACTTTGCTACCGCCAGCACCCTCAACTTTTTTGCAGCAACCTCCGCTCGAGGTTTCCGCTGATTTGGATGGGTTACAGCCGCATTTGCCAGGCGCGCTGCATTTACAGCTCTCAGAGCACTTCTCTGCGGTGCATTTGCATTCTGTGAAGTATTTGATTGGGCAATTTTCTAATATATAAGTCAAGGATTAAATATTGTTTTACCCTTTTCACATCCAACACATGGCATTTTCACAAATTTGTTGTTCTTCTTCTCGGTGCACAAATACAACTTGTGAAATCTGAGCTCACTTCTATATATTTTATATACAAATTTGACAATTTTCGCAGCGCATGCGTGTAAACAATAAATGTTAGAGGGTTGAATTTAACATGTAATCGTCGAATCATCGAGCGAATGACAATCTGTATAAAAGGCAGCTCAAAACAACCGTTATTACCAGGGTCTAGAGCAATGCCATATGGCCTATAGAAGATATGGGGAACCTTGGCTAATGTGATGGGAAATGGGAAAGTTTTATCCATGCAATGCATCCTTCAAAACTCTGTCATAGTGAGGGTCTTTGGCTTAGGCTTCCGACATTTTCAGAAGGAGGGGTCAAGTCTTAATGAGTAAGACCCCTTTCTTGGCCATGAGCAAGATTTTTTGCAATTTTGTTTAGAGAGGGGAATTTTAAATTTATTTACGATTACATGCACAAGACCTCTTATAAGACAGATTGTTACCATCTTAAGCGCTTCAGAAATATTCAAGCTTTGTGAAAAACTTGTCTCCGAACTTGCTTGATCACATAAATATAACGATACCAACGGGTTTCTAAAATTGAAAGAATTAAAACTGGAGTAAATTAAAATTTTAAAATATTTACTCATGGTTTCTAGCGATTTTTGAAATTTAGTTTGAAACCCACCCGTTTTTAATACTTACTGGAATTCGGTTCCAAAACTTCGCTTTAGCGTGCAGATACATAAAAATGATGATAAATTAAGATGTCAGTTAAGCAGAATCAGAATACACAGTGTGCTCTACAAATATATGGATAGCCTAAACACAGGTGAAAAACTTGATTTAAAAGGCTGAAAGATTCAAAAATGGTTAATCTTGACTATCTCAGATAAGAGGAGATTTAATATATAGTTACATATGATTTAAACTTATATGCTGTTTTTTTTTTTTATTATTTGCTTATGATTCTCTTTTGTTTTTCAACATTACATATTTAAGATTTCGATCGTTTGCTGTTGCTTAAGACTAACATTTTATGCGCCCCTTTAAAGGGATGGTTTTTAAGCTTCGTCCTTTATGTTTCACATAGACAACTTACTAGACTTATGTGCGTAATTACAATTTATTCTCACATGAACTAAAGAACGTAAAATGTATTTAATTCGTATCGTTCAGCAATTTACAATGAAAATTGATACACATTCTTTTATTTTAATAAAGTTGGTTAATTATATAATATCTGTTCATTTGTGTCTAAAATACAGTTATAGTGCACATGAATAGGGAGAGGATGGGTAGCGATTGCGAACATGACAGGAAACTAATCCAAATATAATTAGCAGCGTAAAACGTATCTAAAGGTTCTACTACAACATATATAGATATTAGCGTCTCATAAGCCGTTTTTCAACTCATTTTCTTCGTTTCATTTCATTATCAGTTATTATTTTTCCTTTCTCTATGTTGCTTATAATGCTTTTGCTTTTGGCATTCGTAGTGCATAACAAGGTTCACGCAATGATATAATATTTAAACTTTTTACTTAACTAACATTTTCAAATGGGAATTATGTTTTTTTTATGATTTGGACAATTTGCGGTCGTGGAAGTCTTAAAATAGTAACGTTTATCATTATTTCTAGCTGTATGTATGCATATATGTTTATGTATGTTAATGCATGCATTGCATATATATATATATATATATGTATATATATGTATATATATGTGTGTGTGTGTGTGTGTGTGAGACCGTGGCATGTTGAATCAATATATATGTGGGTGTGAGGATGTGGGAGTGTTTGTCTGAGTGTGAATTGAATTTATTTGCTACCGATTTTTTATGTTGCCAGATTAACTTTAATTTAGTATAATTCTCTTGCTCAAAAGTCTTTTACCGGAGCACAGGCTCGCCCAAGGCAAGCAGCAACCTTGGTTCAAATCATTCAATGCAACTTTCGACCTTTGGCCAAAAATTTGCAGTACCTTAGAGCTTAGCCATTGTGTGATTCCCACATGCTGCGTGTCATCAGTCCAATGGCTTGCCGAAAAATAAAATGCTAAGCAAATCATTGAACGACAACTAAATTTGTGTTGGACTCGCTGCCTGTGTCGCTGACGCAACGCCAGCCACTGAGCTGGTGGCCGCTGCGGAAACGTTGCTGTTGACAACCGCAGTTGCAGGCGACAGTTCATCGAATTTGGCCATCTCTTGCTCCCTGCCATTTAACTTGGATTTGCAGCACAGTACTGTGTCCGTCTCAATGTTGTATTTGCCTTGCAGCACATCGTCCTCGGGTTCTGGAGGCGTAGACGCACCCCTAGGCTTTGACTTGATTGCCGCAGCTGCTGATGTAGACGCCTCAACTGCAAACTCATCACTGGGGTGTTCTTTGTTTTGTGCCGCGCTCGATGCATTTGCGTCCCGTTTAATGATGGTAAAAATGCTTTGTATGTACGACTCCATAGTGAGCAAGGTGCTTAGACGCTTCTTGCGATCCTCGTTAACACGATCTTGTGCGGTTTTTTTGTTCACCGATTTTTTATTGCGCTTTGGCGTAGGCTCCAATTCATCCTCCAGTTCAGTCTCATCGTCCGACGAGGGAATCGATGCTTTCTCTAGCTTCTCGGATTCTGGGCTCTCGATACGTACGTCCACGTAATCAGCGGTTGCCGCCGGTTCAGTCTCCGCGACAGTTCCAACAGCTTTAACTGCATCAACCGTTCCACTGGGCGTATCCGTAGTTCCGTCGACAATGCTAGCTTTATCGACTGATTCGGCTTTCTCTTTATCAGTCAAATTGTTTGCTACCTCCGGCTCCGATTGCGCTGCCGGTTGCGAGTGTTCCTTTTCATGACAGGAGTCCCGTTTTAGCTTTTTGTTAGGAAATTGATCTACAAAAACCAAATATGTATAGTATTTATAGAATGCCCTTGATCTAATTCTGTGTATCACCTCGTTCCGCTTCCTTCTTAAAACGTTCGCTCTTGTTAAGCAGGGCCCGTAATGATCCACGCAGCTCCTTGCGCACCGAAGTCGGCACACCAGTAGCTTGGGCAATAATACGTATGGCAAATAGATCGCCGCACAGCTCGTCAATGTCATCCTTAGAGTGCATGCCATAATTAATCGTGTAGATCATTCGCGCAACAGGAAGCTGTGCTGCCACTTTGTGGTAATACAACTCCAAAAATTCCCGCACAAATGCATCCTTCAGCATGCTGCGCTCGTCTCTGAGCACATTATGCAGATACTCTATTAGCAGCTGATTCTTCACAAGCAGCTCCGAATATCTAAAAGCAAAATTGACATATATATATATATATATTGACATCAATATATCGTATAGCTAAAGGAAGTATATTAATTAAACTAAAACGGTTTGAATGGTAAATTATGAAAATCGTACGTGGTGATAACTTGTTTTTACATAGATTAGATTTCATGAATCCTTTGGGAATTCACTAGCCACACCCATCTGTGAGAAGTTTTCCGGACAAGATAAGAAATCTTCGCCCGTCGGATCACAGATATCCTCTTTCTATACTCTACCCTTACCTCTTCTTATTAATTGAATATATTTTAAAATTATTATTGTTAACTCCGCTTTAACGAATAGATAAAGAATCGGTATACCCTATTCTCAACTACATCTTCACTTTCTCTAGACATTTCTCTTCCTTCTTAAACAAAGGTAATTCAATTATTCATCATTCTTATATAATGTTCTTCTTCCCTTCCTCAATATGTATGTCAGTAGGAATATAGCTGGCCAGACTGAGAAATATTATAGTGTGCACACGGACACTAGGAGTACCTACTTTCTAAATTTCAAGTCTTAAGCTCAGAACCTATAAAGTTCTCAGGATTTTGCGTACATACATACGGCCGGACGGACAAACGGACGGACGCAGAGACGGGCATGGCTGCATCGAATCGACTGTAGGTGTTGATCAAGAATAGAAATACATTATACGCCTTTTACCCATTTCTAATGGGTTTAGGGCATTAAAATATAAAAGAATGAAATGTCAGGCTTACTTGTGTGTTAATGCATTGTTGTGGATGCCCACCCAGAACTTAGGAAAGTAGTTAAAATGCAACGGTGTTGACTCTATGGCCACCAGGCAGTGAAGCTTGACCAGAGTGTCGTTAAGGGTGCCTGTATTGACGCACATGCGCAGCATGACGTCGATAAAGTCATGATACGGCCTGTAAAAGGCGTCCACTTGTGCATCGTACTCGATATCAAGACCACGTGGTGTCAGCTCCGACGAAGCAATGCACATTTGCACCATTGGCCTTGGGGGTCGAGGTGAATTTTTGGCACCTAACGGCCAGGACGTCTGCTTTGCACCGCGACGCGGAAAATAAGGTCCTAACGGGCCTATTGCATTTGGTGCATTGGCCACGGACAAATGGCAGTTGATCAGAATGGGCGCCAGAATGATGGTGGCCTCCAGGCTCGTGTTGCGCACTAGCTCCTTGAGCACCTCGAGGGCCATACGACTAATCTCCGGCGAGTTAAATGTGTTAAGCAGCGTAGCTAGTCGCTTGATCGCATCAGGCAGCGCCTTTGCCAGTGCCGAGTGCTGATGTTGTTGACGCAGAAAATGCTGTTGCTGCAACTGCATTTGCTGTAATTGCAGATGTTGCTGCATTTGCTGCTGCAGCTGCTTCTCTTTTTGCTGGGGCGTCTGTGGGGCTTGAGTACACTGCGTCTGCTGTTGTTTTTGCAACATCTGTTGCTGCTGCAGTTGCATTTGCTGTTCCAACTGCTGTTGCTGTTGCTTTTTTTGCGCCGGGTTATCGGTACGCATGCGCAGCGTCGCCAGCAGAAGCACCATTTCTCCAAGAAGATCCAATAGATCCCCAGCCACATGACAGGCAGTGGCCTCGTGGTGCATGGAATGTAGCGTGTGCAACGCCTCAAAGCACATCTCAATGCCTCCGTTGAAAATGACCAGCATGCGGTCATCGTCATTGTCCACTGCGTGTGGGAAATCAAAAAAACCAAAATGATAAGTAAGTTAAAAAACATAATAAATTAGGTGGATTGAACTATTTAGCAATAAACAAGTTTTATAGTCGGATGTGCCCAACTAATCATGTTATTGGAGGGCTTTAATACGACATTTAATTGCATGTATAGCTTTAAAGACTGACCTATTTAACTTTGGGGAGAACGGAGGAGGCATACAAAATATTTGAAAGTTCTTAATCTTACAGGATTTGACTTTTTCATCTCATAATTTTCGAGTTTCGCATACAAAGCCTTATTCGATTTCTTCTTTAGCTTTGCAGCTCACTGACAAACCATTTTATTAATAATAACCCAAATTCGGAGCATGTATTTAGAAACCTCTTAAGAATTGGAGAAGTCGTCGCAAAGTTGAATTGCTATCATAGCTTTAATATATATCACACATTCACAAACGGTTGTGGATGCTCTTCATAGATATATTTGTATACTCTATCGCAAGCAGATGCCTTCTGCCTGTTACATGCCCGACATCTTTTTTTAAGTCAACTTTCATTGTATGAAAAAATAAAATTTAAATAAAATAGATTCTATACTGGTTATCTTACAAAACTAGCTAGAGAAGGCATATTCGATTTGTAAAATTAAAAAAAACTATACTTATTACTATCGGTTGTTTAATAAATCTTACCGAGTATTTTCAGGGCGCTAATCAGGGTAGACCAGGACACTCGTGCATCCAGACTGCTTGTGTAAGATACAATGACGGAGCGTCTAAAAGCTATGACATCCAGCTTCTCCTGTTCGCTGGCATCCGGATGGCGGGTAGCAAAAAGCGCCATTAGTTTAAATAGCTCATCTACTGCGGCAGCATATTGTGTGGGATGCGGCGTTATATTTTTAAAGGCCCATTGTAGATTTTGATGCTGCGCCAACTGTCGGGTGAGTGTTCGGCTTTGCTCGCAGCATAATCGCAACAGTCCATAGTAGGCCGGCAGCATGGACCGATTGTAAGTTACAATCTCTGAATCATCGTGATCGGCACTGCATGGGAATATCAGATTGTTAAAGCGAAACCGTGCCCACTACGAATGTCTTACAGTATATAGTTAAATGCAATGTTCCGCGTTATCTCCGGGCAGTTGGCCACCAGGGCCGCATTTTCTGGGCAGTCGACAAGCGAGTGATGCCAAAAGGTGAGCAAGGCATGTTTGTTATGATGCGCCGGCACACTGGGCTCAGAGAGGCGCGGGTGAAACAGCTCCCATAGGGAGCGCATAAATGAACCTATCTGTTGGCGAAAGAAACAAATTTAGATGCGATCGGAGCGGGGATGTGCAGAAAGCTGTGTGCATGTGTGTTGCCAAACTTGCCATTAGTTTTTCAGTCTTAGAAACCATACAGTAGCTGAGTAGATTAAAATAGGCGGTCAGCTTGGTAGTGCCATGTGCCCCTATGTCTGCATAAGCGCGTGCTGGACGCAGCAGCCGCAGCAGCAATGTTATCACTTGATGCAGCACCACCTGGGCATCGCTGTTGATGTCCCTGCAAGGGGATAGAAAAACAGAAGTATATGACGCTGCTTATCATCAGTAAAGCTGCAGCATTTACCGATAACTGTGCGGATTGAGAGCCAACAACTTATGTTGTGAGTGAGCGCGGAAGTTGGCACGAAACGGCTGGGAGGGCACCAGCGCCACCAGCAGGCAGGCAGCGGCTACAATATGAATAAAAACTAAAATATAGGGCCCAAACATGTACTGGTTAGCCATTTCGTACCATTTCTTACGCGCGTATTATCATGCGCGAGTAAAAATTGTTCCAGCCATTGCTCGGCCGACTGAAGAATCCAGGCATGCGCTATTTTATTCTTGGTGGCCTGCAGCGACAGCCAGTCGAGCACAGACTGTGGACAGTACTCTGCCGCATCCCACATGCGTGGCAACACCAGCTGCGTAAAACATGGCAGGCCAACTGGACCGCCCTGCGTCTCGGTGAGCAGTGTCAGCAACTTGAAGAATGGTGCACAGAGCTCAGTGTGTTTGGTGACCGAGGCGAAGAGCATACTGATGATTTGTGTAGCCAAACGATCGTCCCAGCGGCAGAGCGCGTGGATTAAATGCTTTGTCTGGTGCGGATTAATGCCATCCTTTATTTGTTGATACAAAAATGGAAAACCCTACGAAATATATGTGAAATAAATATATATAACACATAAGCAATGAACAAAGCAAAACAATTGGTTATAGGATTAGACATTGGATTGGTTTGTTGGTGGATTTATGGATTGATAATTGATGGTTAGACGATGTAGTGGTGCTTGGATGTTTGATTAGATGGAATATATAACGCTTTCGAGCTTTTTCAGTATCACCTTTCCACCGGCAATGGCATTGAAGTCTTTGGGCGATAGACGCAATCGAAAATCAGCGCCTCGCGAACGCTCGACAAGACTAGCACATAGTGCAATCATTTTGTCTAGCGATGCTGGACGCATTTTTTCTACTGAGAGTGCCTCATCTGAAGAGTTGTCCTCATTGTCTGAGCTGATGTCAATCTGCAATATAAATAAGAAATTAAAGTAGAAGCTCCAACATTTCTTCTTGCCAACTAACACTATCTGTTTGCTTATGGCCCAGGTAAAAGTCTACCAGACTCTTGAGAACGCCGATGCGCAACAAAAACATGGCTTCTTCATCGCCCATGCGCGAGAACTCACACAGCAGGCTAAAGTACTCGGATAGATGACGCAGATGAGAGCGCGCTCCATGTTCCAGCAGTGAAATTAGCGAGCTTATGAAGCGTGTAACACATGATGCTTGACCAATCAGCTCCCTGTCGTTTTCGTCTGTATCCACACCCAGATACAGATCAGCATGCGACGCGCTAAAAGCAATAATAAGCATATTCATCTGAAGTTGAGTTTTGATCAAATGATCAGTAAGAAACTTACCGCAGCCGCTGTATAACATGAACGACCAAACGCTGAAACATTTGACGCACCATTTGATTTGGGCATTGAATTAGCACCTGCACAGGCCAAAAAGGTTCAACCGACATGTGCGAGAGGAACCATTCGCAAGCCTCTTCACTGGCGTTGAATTGCTTTGTAAGCAGCTCTACCCAAGGAACCATGGTGGGCTGTAATATGGAAATAATGTCACAATGATTTTGGGCTTGCCATTTGTTAATCTTATATAATGACATTTCTCTAAAGTAACACATTGATTGAGATTTTCTTTTCAGAACCTTACAGCTCACATTCCAGCGAAAGAAAACTTAACCGGTTACAACCGTAAATTCAAGTGGATTTGAAATAAATAAAATTTATAAAAAAAAAAAGAAGACAATACATTTTGTAAATCGCTGTTCAGGGTGTTCTACTGAGAGTTAACATATTTTAATAAAATTTATTAATATCAATGCATTATGCGAAGGGCAAGGGACTTACATTAGGCAAATGTCAAGAGGCTGAGTTAAATTTGTAATGCTTACCTTCTCCTTGGCATGTATGAATGTTTCAATGAAAAATGACACGGACAACTTAGCGGCCATGCAAGTGACGTCCGTCTCCGAGATTAACGTCTGTGGTATGTGACCGCAAATTTGCCACATGAAGCTAAAACAGAAGGCTTAAAACAACTGTCTGCTGTTAATAGAATTTTTATACCCACTTGAAGTAGGTGTGCTCGAAGATATTTCGATCTTGCAAGAACTGTCGGTTATCCTGCCAAATCCAATCTTCCAGCTCCTTACTCAACAATGGACGAAACTGTTGTAGCTTATTAGACGCTTTTGCTTCCACGACGGCGGCCGCCTTTGAGGTTGACGCCTGCGTTTCTTTACTATTCGACTTTAAATTATCACAATTGGCTGTAATTTGATCCTTTCCTCTCGCTTCCTTCTTTTGACTCTCGTCTTGCTCTTCGGTTTGTTCGTCCTCCTGCTGCAAGTTTTCAACATCGTTCTTGATCGGAACCACTTGCTCCGGCTCTGCCTTAACTGTGTCCGCAATGTCCGCTGTCTTCAGATCACTTTTATTTATATTGACCTTCTCCGCTTTGGGCGGCTCGTCTGTTTCTGTCTTATCCTCATTAGTGGGACTTGGCGTTGGCGTGGCCAGAAGTTCCGAGTGCCGACGCTGCAGATGCTCTGGTAAGCGACGTTCATAGAATAGCATATACGCTGAGTTTGTCTTTTCGAAGCTAAAGTCCAAATACTTTTCAGTCACTGAGTCGTAGGTTTTGCTCTAGAAAATGAAAACAATTAGCATTAAAATAGGGACTTTTAAAAATTATCTGATTAAATATTTAGCGCGAGTGCTTACCGTCATTTCGCCACCAAAACACTCGGCCGCTATTTGCGAGGGATCGAAAGGCTTGACCTCAGCATCATTAAACAGGAACCAACGCTCGTGCGGATGGTAGTTGCTTTTCGTGCGCTCCTTAATAAAGCTATAATAATGCCCACCGTCCGCTGTTCCCGTGTGCACTGTAACGCCAACCAATTCGTACCTGTAATCAATAAAACAAGTGTTTTACATTAAACTTACAGATAATACGCAATAAAGCCACTTACTCATAGCACTCCTCGATGTCTGCGTCTAGTGTGGCTTCAGCCTTTTCATTCTCAGCCCCCTCATCATTCTCATTTTGTTGAAGTTCACGTTTGCGCTTCTCGCGGTCCTCCTTGTATTGCTGCGGCATCAACGTCTTTTCTACGTAGTGACACATGTTGAGTCGCAATGGAAACGAAAAGTGCGTGTTGACCTTCTCCTTCAGCATGGTCACCATATTGAAGGTGTACCGCATGGTGTTAAAGCACAGGATCTGAGGCAGTTTCTTGAAACAGGCACGCTTTTCAGCTCTCACTTTTTTGCCACACTGCGAGCATGTGTACATGTTGTCGCCTTCAAGCGTATCCTTGACAGTCACCTCATCGAGCGACTCTTGCAAATTTCGCATGTCCGCAACTTGGCACCGAACCGTATAAAACTCCTCAGCGGTGCGTGAGACATGACCGCAGTCCAGAGAAACGACATTGTTGCTTAAAGTGCCGCAAAACAAACGCTTTACCAAATGCTTTAGATCTGGCGTCATTTCCTCTAGCTTAGACACCAGATCAATGAAGAACTCAGCCATGTCCTTCTGCTCGCCCGTATTAAGGGGCTGATGATCCATCTGATACACACGACAGAAGCTGCGCGGATTATAAGCTTTGCGCTCCGACTCCAGCAGATATGCGAACATGCGCTGCAGTTCCAGCAGCGTCGGCGCATGTTTTTGGGTGCCAGCTGGCGGCAGTCGCAAAATAGCTGCTCGGGCCTGTGGCATCATGTATAGATGCTGTATGCAGGAGGCCATGTAACAGGTAGCTCCCAAATTCGTGAGGCCCACATAGCCACACTCGGCACGACCCTCGTCACGTGGCCAATAATCCCAAGGATATGGCTGTTTCGGACCGGACCTGTGTTGCGCCAGCAGCCGAGCGTGCAGGTAGCTATAGTTGGTGGCACAGCCGCGGCACAGCTCCACCAGCAGATCATAGGCAGCGGCACGGGAAGTGGCTGATTTGCATTTGGGTTTCTGGCGGTTAGCTGGAGAGGGCATTTCGAACAGGAACTCGATTAGCTGCTCAATAAAGCTCAATGCCTTGGGCCTGTATTTGTAGCTAGTGTCGTACTTAATTAGATTGGACATGAGATTGAGTAAGCCCACTAATCCATCATCCTGATAGCCATGGCGCAGTTCGTGGTAGTCGCGGCTGAGAATGCTCTCCGAAACGCTCTCGCATAGCAACTCAATATCGATACGCTCCTCGGCTACCATTTCGGGCGTCAAAGTGTCAACAAGGCGCGCCAGTAGCCAAAAATAATCCCGACAAGCTGGTCCATATGGCTCCTTGCCCTCTTCAGAAAGCAAAAACTGGGTGTGCTGCACTGAAGAACTCATTTGCTCGGCACGCGGCAGCAATGCAATAAGCTTGTGGAGCAGAGGAGCTAACAGTAGGCGGTAACTCTGCGCATTGCCCAAGCATATGCGATAGAGACCGGCGCAAATTTCCCGACGCACCGCCGGCTCTGGGTCTTCCAGTATGAACTTTTGCAGCCAATTACATTGTTCCGGTTGAGACCAGAGTAAGCTACGCGCCTCTGCTGAAGCATGCACGAAACTCACCAGAATGTTCATAGTAAACTGAACCAGCTGTGCACGTCCCCAGAAACCAGTCCGCAGTTGATGAAACTGATATGGGAATACCATTGAAGTGGCGCCGGCTGACAAATGTTGATGGACTTCATCGTTAAGTATGCTGGACAGACGCTGTAGGCACTGGGGCACTTCCATTAGCTGCAGCATGAACGCATGTGGTCGCGACATCAGCACGTGCACATCCTGTGTCTGTAGCTCCTCGAAGCCCAACAACCAAAGAATTCGCAAAAGGCTGGCCAAGCAATCATGCCGCCATTCGTTTAGCGCAAGCTCTTTGGCATGCGCGCTTTGCTGCAGCTGTCCAGCACTAAAGATCTCGTACAGATGCTGCAGCCCGCCGCACTTGATAAATGCTTCGCTCCACTTGCTACTCTCGCCAACCAGCGCACTGCGCCCTGGTGTTGCTGGTAATGTGGATGCTGGCGAAGGTGGCGGCGGTGTGGCACAGCCCAATGGACGGTCCTGGTCAAGGCCATCGATCTTTTTCTGCCGTTTACTGTGCTGCTTAGGCTGGTTTTCCTTATCGCCGCCGACCAACTCGCTTATATCTGCGTCGCTGCCAGAACGTGGTGCTAAAGTAGCCGTGGCCTCCAGGTCGCCCCCCACTGACTGCTCTTTGCTGCAATCACTGCTGCTGCTGCTGCGTTTCGGCTCCGCCGGCTGCTCGTTGCTGTTGTGCCGTCTGTTTGCGCTCTTTTTGATGCGAGGCTGGTCACTAGTAGCCAGATTGCCATTGGCGCCAGCCCCACCAGGACCAACGGAAGCACCAGTTTGACGCTGGCCGCTACTCAACGCCAGGCTTTCGACGATGTGCAAAGAGTACATGAACTTTTGAAGATTGCTGGGATCAAGCAGCTCGTTAAATTTTTGCTTGATTTGTTTGCGCTTGTTGGCCAGCTGCTCCTGATCGTCCAGTTGCTGCAGTTCATTGAGATCGTTAACCAGATTCTTGAAAGCATCTAGTATATGCGGATTGGTGGGCAACATGGCCAAAATATCCCACACACGGCGCGACAACAACTGCGCCTTTGTGTGATGCTGCAGATGCACCGTTGAAGATTGCGGCTTCATGTCTCCTAGCGTTTGCATCAAACAGAACAGTTTCTCAAAGTACTTGGGCTGTAGGAGGAGTACCGTGGGCAGGCATTCCTTGGGCGGCGGCGGTAACATTGATGGATGCTCTACGTTCGTTTCCTTACGCCGAGCACCGCGTCCACCCAGTGAAACATACACAATCTGATTGTCTTTGAAACCAGCGTCACCCAGAGTGCGTTCGTCATAATCCGATGTAAGCTCCTGGCCCTGTGTAATAATCCTCAGAGGACCATCGCTTAACAGTAGGCCCAACACTGGCGCCGCGATGCCCGACTGCAGGCTCTCCCACCATTTAGAGACCTCCGCTTTAAGATCAGCGATGAGATCGCAGGCATGCATATGCAGCAGACTTTTTTCTGATAAGCCCGCCTGTTGTAGCACAATTCGCAGTGGTGGGCCGGCACCCTCGTTTTTCAAATTGCTGTGCGAGCCAATCCCCTTGCCCTCGATGGCCCAGCGGCGCAAGTGAAAAGCATACCGTCGCCTGAATGTGTCCAGATGAGTGTTAAGCAACAACAACCCGCGCTGCACTCGCATCAACGCATTCTCGTCCTCAATGCTATGAATAGAAATAAATAGTATAAGTAAACAGTTATTGATTAACATACATACTATAAAGAAAAAAGAAAATGATTATAGAAAGTGCGCTGTAGTCGACTCAGCTCGCTAGACAATTCCCTGTACCCGCATACTTAATAATATTTTGGCTTATAGAATCACGCTTTGACAAATTCTTCAAATCATAAAAGCCCAATTTGAATTCCAAATATTTCAAAAACACAAGAATATGTAGAAAGTATTTGGAAGATAGCTCTCCGCAGGGTTCTGGAAATCTCCTAGCATAGTTCACAGCATCAACAGCCGAGCGGATATAACCATATCTGTCTATCTGACTGATTCTATGCGAACTAGCGATGCCGTTTTAAAGCTATCATCTTCAAACATCGCATAAGTCCATCTTTGAGTTGAAGGCAGTACATATGTCAGAACCGACTGGATCAGATTCCTATACTTTTTCGCTGCCATAGGAACGATCGGCCCACCCGTAGGATTTAGTGTGATAAACTTTGTTGTTTATTAAGATATCTTTCCCAAATTCGGCATTTATAAGTTTTAATATACCTCTAAATGTATTCAAAATCCTGTCAACATTAGATTACTATATTATATAACGGCCATAGAAACGATCGGTCGAAAAGTTGGTTCTGATATGCAGCTTGACCAAATACGGGATTTATTAGATGATTTCCTCATATATGTATATGCTATATCCGTGCTATAGCTGCTATAGAAAAGGATATTTAATGGCGTAATAATATGTTTTCAAAGATTTTTTCAGAAACTCGGCATTTTCGAGCTGCCCTATTCTCACGTATCTACAAACGGAAAATGTCTACGAGGAAATTAAACCTTCTTGACTTATTTTGTGAGCATTCCATATTCAACCGTCATTAACTTCGAGAATTCATTGGGTTCAGGCGACCGTACAGTAAAATGCACTAGATGTATATACTAGGATTAACTTACCATTCCAGCGCCGTAGCCGCTTGTACGAGATTGTCCATGCACTGCGACACAAACTCCCTTTCTAGGCGCAACTGCTGGCCCATGTAATACATGTTGATGTATTGGATCGCTGCCAGCGAGACCTCATTGCTTTGGGCGCGCAATGCAATCTTCCATAAGTGGTACATTCCCACGGCGCTTGAGTTGGCAGTAATGGCCTCACTGTGCTTCTCATACTCGGCCATCGCGATCCGCGCGAAGCTGCACAATTGCTGGAACAGTCCTAGTGCCACCATAGAAAACTCTTCTGGACGCAGCTCTGGCAGTTTTTTCAAGTACAGGTGCTGCAGTGCGTCGATACCCAGCGCGTGCTGATCACCGCCCTTCGTTTGCGCCTGAAGCCACGAAAAATAACAATCCGAGCACTCGGGATCATGTGCGAGCCACTCCCACAGCGCGTCCAACTGCTCCAGCGTCAGCCGAAAGGTCTTAGGCGAGCCCACCGAAGAGAAGATAGACGAGAGAAACTGCAGCCGCACAGAAACCTGCGTCTTGTGCGAGTATAGCTGAAGGCCCAGTTGTTGCTGTTGCTGCTCGCCATTTTGGTTGATCAACAGCTCTGCATGCCTCCTGGCATAGTGGCGAATGTTATTGAAGAAGGACTGCATCATGCGATGATTACGTTCTGCCCACAAAGTCATTGTATGTGTGTCCGATGGCCGGAACTGTTGAAATGACGCAAAAAGCTTTGGCAAAAGTCGCAAGCTGACGATCACACTTCGATTGTTTGCCACGTTATGGAGACAGCCTTCAATGAATTTTGTGCGCAGTTGGCGATCCATGCTAAAGCATAGGAGCGTTGCTAGCGCCTTCTCAGCCTCCAAGGCTAAAGATTCGCCAAGTTGACCCTAGGAAAAGACGATAGGACCAATTAGAGCACGAAGTAGGCAACTAATTTAATATTGCTCCATGTAATAATGTTGGTCAGCAACCTAAACTAAGATAAATGTCTTTTCCTTACTTTTTACCTAAGATCTGATTTAAAAATTCACATTAATAACCAATACTTGTTTTCTGATGTTAACATTCGAGTCTAAATGGACACGTCCGTTTGTCTGTTTCTATCTAGTTTTACAGTCTCTCAGTTTTAGAGCAAGCTTCATGAAAATCGACATTGGTTCAAGTTTTTAAACCGTTCTATCTTCATTTTGAAACGCTTGCTAAAGTTATCAGATACGTTTTGAAATAAATCATATTTTGATCTTTAGAAGCGGGGTCGATATACATAGATTGCACTTACAATTTTGTCGTCCTGAAGCAGATCCCAGAGTAGCGTATTGCCCGGCTGGCAGACATCGTTTAGCTTAAAGGAGGGCTGGTTATTGCTTGATGCTGCATTGTTAGTCCTGGGCGAGTGCTGCTGTTTGTTGGCCACGTCTACTAGATCCACATCAGAGTCGGACTTGGACTTAACAGCGGCCGCAGCAGCAACAGCTGCAGCTGCATTGGCCTGTTGCCGCATGGCTACTAATGACTGTTGCGCATTTCCAGTGGCAACAGCGGCCGCCGCAACTGCAGCAGCAGCGGCGGCTACATTTGTTTCACCAGACTTTTGCATAGCCATTGCTGATTGAGCGGCCATCAGAGCAGCGGCGGCAGCTGCAAAAGCAGGAGCCACATCTCTACAATTCGGGGCGGTTACACGTGCTCCATGCGAATTTACAAGTTGTGCCAACTCTTCCTCACACGGTGAAACGTCCTCGTCGTCAAAGTCAGCGAGATTCTTCTCTGATTTATTGCTCATGGGTGATGAATAGCTGCCATCATTCTCTGCACCGCTCAGAAGTTCACTGATGTTCGTCTCGGCAATAGCGCGTATATATGGACCTTCGCCGTGCAAATGCTTAAGTACGGCAGCGGGCACCAGTTGATGGCCGGCACTATCACTGCACTCATCACTGTCGGCGAGAAGTTCGCCGTCGCCATCAGCATCGCCATCATCGCTGCTGGGCACATCCTCAGCACCGTCCCATATTTCGACCAGCTCATGCGGTAGAAGCGGCTGCTGTTGCTTGTTGCTATTTTTCGGACGGCGTCGCTTGTTGGTTGTTTTTTTGCGATGTAGCTGAAGCTCCAAAGCAGCTCGTGATTGTAGTTCCTCTTCACTGCTGGTGTTGTCGATGATGTTGACAATGCGATGGTTTCTGCCGAAAGAAGGACCCATTTAAACAAATAAAATGCATTGGATATTTATCGACTTACTTAATGTCCACCTTGGCTATGTCATCGCCGCTCATTTGCTTGGCCTTCTCCGTGGTGGGATCGCAAATATGACGCCTGTGTCTTGCTTGTTTACAAGGTGTTACGCCATCGACAGGGCTTTTGTGGCCACCACCACCACCACTAGCGATGCTGCTATCATCAGCGCCCACATGATCATCCTCAGTGTTACTGCCTTCAATGCTACCGCTGTCCGAGCTGGAGGCTGTCACATTGGAGCCAAGCAAATGGTCTTGCATTAAATTCATTTGACTGCGCGTACAATCGCGCGTCCAAATCAACTTGGTCAAAGCGGATGCAATGTAAATACTTTGCTCGGTGTGCTCTTTTGGATCCATACGGCATAGCAGCGAATACAGATGCATGGCCGGACGTGGTGCCAGATTCTTTACCAGCGCCGGCAATATATCAAATATAGTTTTTGAGCAGTGCTTCAGCTGCGTCGCCTGCCAGATCAGTTTGATGTCCTCCTCGGAGATCTGATTCTCCACGGCCAAGAAGTTAAGAAGTACATGGGCCTGCTTTACAATCTCAACGTGCAGATTCGGACCAAACAGATGCTGAACGATTTGATTCTCTGTTAGCCAGTTGGCTATACGCTGGCCAAAAAGCTCCACCTCATTGACAGTTTCAGTGGTGCAAATCTCGTTGAACAGATTTATGTGAGCATTGATCTGGGCCATGCCTAAAATAAATTTGCTGACAATTAGAGTGGCGCGCATATAATAATGCTTAATGTTAGGTTCATCAAATTTCACTAAACTCACAAATTACTAACATTACTATACAGACAGCTCATAAAAGCATTTACAGGATTCTTTAATATAGAAAAAGGCTATCAAAAATTAAATTATTTTTCCTAATTTATTTTTGGAGCTGTTATCATCTTGGTGTTCACATTAAAATGATCATTGCGCTAAGGAGCTATGCTTTCCACTTTTTTATACTAAATTTGTCTAAAGAATATTTTGAGCATGTTATATATTTAATAATTAAAATTATCTTAAGATAATTCTCTGCATATACTAAGATTTGGATTACTACATGCAGTCGCCTCAACAACTAGATTAAACACTTACCCGCCAAACGCATCGTCAGTGTAGTTGATGTAAAGTACTTAAAGGCCAGAGCTAGGCCTTCGGTATCAAAGTTGACGGCCACGTCCAGCGGATCACGCATGGAGGACCACACAAAGTCAGCCATGGCACGCGTTGCCGCCGAGCGAAGATTTTGATCGGAGAGCTTGCACATGTATTGCAGAATGCGGCTGCGCAGTGGCACGAACAGTTGTGTGTTGCAGTGATAGTTGAGCCACAGCTTCACATTGGACACTGTGGCAGTCATGGAGTGAGCTGTGGATACGGGCAAGTCCGGGTGTTCAAAGCACAGTGACATGGCGCCAAAGCCTCCAGAATTGCAAAACAGGCTCACGTTGCGCAGCAGGTAAATGGGTAGATCGTTGTCGTGCAGATCACAGATTAGAGCCAGGTGGTGCGCTTCCTCCGCTTGCAGATCGTCCAGACGTGAGTGCATGCCGTGTTTATGGGCAATGTACAGCGGAAAGTTGAGCAGAAATACCTTGGATACGAGTACCAGCAATTTCTCCACCTCAGGCAGAATCCATGGCTCTTCCGTGTATTGTGGATGTGCCTTACTGCTGGTTGGTGGGACTTGAAGTGGCGGCGGTGATGGCGGTTTCTTAGGTGGACCTGGACCATCACCGGAGGCTCTTTTTTCCTCATCACCGCTGGCCTCAGGAAGGGTTGATTTACTGTCGTCACCAGCGGAAGGTGGCGAACACGACGACGAGGACGTTGACTCCTTGTGCTTGCTGTTGCTCTCGTTGTCATTATCGTTGTGTGAGTCCTTGTCGGGCTTTTCGGGTGTGGGTTTTCTCTGCGCCTGTGCGACAACTTGCGCAGCACTAGCCGTTAGCCGTTTGTAACTGTCGATTAGATGATCAATGTGCTTCAAGTGTTGCACCGTAAGACATATGAGCGATTGCACCACTAGATTAAAGCGATCATAGTTCTTGTTATCCCGGTACAAACACATGCACTGACGCTGTGGCCACGATTGAATATAATTGAAAGTCGTCTCAATTTCGCTCTTGAGCAGCAGCTGAAACTTAAGCTCCGAACTGGCCACGCGAACCTCATCTGAAAAGTAAAGTATACGTTCGTGAAGGGGGAGGGGAAAAGTGGGCGCAAGTTTAGACAGTTATCACTGTATAAATGCCGACACACATTATATGCATATATTTTCGCTACTTACACAGCTCCAATAAATTTTGGAAATCGGCGCAAACCTCGCACATTGCTCTTGTGTGGCTCCACCGAAAGCCGTGGCTGCTGCTGTTTCTACTTCTTAAGATCCGTTTGCTTTGCCGTTGCCGTCGCCTCCTTCGCCTCCACCAGCGTTCGCCGTTGTCGCAAAGTGCAATTTGTTGGTGGGCTTTTAGTCGATCTCTTTAGTCCTTTGTAGCGTCCATGCAATTCCATTTATATTGCGCACTCAATGCCACTCACTCTCATGCACACAACACGCACTTGTCTAACATTGCATCCAAAAGTACTCTTAAATTCTAGTAAATTTTTATGAATTGATATATTTTCTAGATATATTTTCTGTCGATAAGAAACATCGCTACTAGACGAGCGATAGAAAACCATAGTGTGTGGTGGCCGACCGATGGTTTTGCAAATACAACCCTGTATGTGTGTGTGGCATGCGATGTATACAATATACAAAAACAACCTCTACAAAATCGTAGCAGCTTTGCTAATTTAATCTGTTGATGACATTGTCTCTATAGAAAAAAATTAAATAATTTAATTCATATTCAGAGAAAAATATGAACAATGTTAACCAACAGCTGTTCTCTTGTGACTCTGTAGCGCATACAGTCAACGGCTGTTAAATTCAATTTAAGAGTCATCCCGACGATCTTTAAAGCGAAATCCTTTTTTCCTATAAAAACTTTCAACGTTATTAAGAAATTCACTTCAAATACAAACAAATCAAAGTCAATTTTATGACAAACTGACAAAGGAAATGTCTAGTTTACTGGAACAAATAAGTGCGCGCTGTTAATAACATTACAGCCAGTGTTGGGTGCCCACACTTTGTTTGTCACTTGGGTCCCTCGAGGAATTTCGATAAATCGCCGTCGCTTAGCAATTTATTCCCGAAGCGGCATTTATTTGTTTACATACTTTGTGAATAAAACTCCAACAAGAACTTATAACTTATAATGGACGAGTGCATAATGGAGACCAGCTCACCTACTGAGGCGAACTCAGAGCTCAACTTTAATATGGAGGATGAGAAAATGCAACTGCAAGAGCATCGTAGCTCAGTTAGTGGAGTTGTTGGTGTGGAAGGCGGGGACAGGCAGACAACAGCCGGCGTCTGTTATTGGTAGGCACATGTACAAGACATTTTGTTTGATAAGTACACTCAGATTTGTTTACTTTCTGCACATCTAGTGGCAAGGAACGAAACCTAAACGCGATTGAATTACTGTGTGCGACATGCTCCCGTTGGATTCACGAGTCCTGCATTACTTACCAGTTGGGCAAGGGGAAGCTGCTGCCGTTTATCACAAATTATATATTTGTCTGCAAAAATTGTTCTGCCACGGGCCTGGAAAGCTTTCGCAAAAGTCAAGCTAGTAAGTATAGCAAAAAACAAAAAAAAAAACGATCGCATTGACAATTTGTACTCTCTATAATTTCTTAATAGCAATATCTCAGATGTGCCAATGTGCCATTGCCAACATGCAGCAGGCTGCGCTTCGGGAAGGCAAGAATCAAATACAGTTTAGCAAAGACAAGGAGATTATACCCTATATTGAGCAATTCTGGGAGGCCATGACAACGATGCCGCGTCGTCTGACGCAATCTTGGTACTCAACCGTGCAGCGTTCCCTTGTCAAAGATGTTAATACATTGTTTGTCTATGAAGAGCATGTTGAACAGGGTGCCATGTATGGACTTTATCATCAGGACTTGCGTTTAATTAAACCCAACTACGAGATTATGAGCAAAACTGGCGCCCTGCGTCTTACCGAGGATGGTTATATGCAAGGTGAGTTGCTATTATCAAAACAAAACATAGTTTCTTTTCTACCTGTTGAGTTGTTGTTCAATAAATTCATTTTGTTTATTTGAGACACATAAAGCGAAACCCAAAGAGAGTCTATGATTCGGTGTTTTCCGAATATGCTAAGCACTCATTTTTGTTTTGCCTACGATTCGTTACAGCTGAGCGTGCACAGTGGGGCGAGTGCTGCAAAAGCTGACGCGAAATGAGGCCAACACAATGGCAATTGTCTTTATCGCGTTCTGCTTTGCATGCCCTTCCAAACAAAATGAACGAAGCGTGCGTCTGCTATCTTTTTTCGCTTTAATTCAGGCACGTTCGCAAAGAGAGCCGACAAATCGGAAATGAAAATCAACAGTGGGCAGATGGTTGCAAAGCAATTCAAATTATTAATCAGCTTTGCAATTGCACTGCAGCTCTATTTTATGTTCGTTGTTGTTGCTATTTTACTAATTGGAATTGAAGCAACTACGGTTCGTAGCTGTAGCACCGTGGAACGCTCGCTCACATCGTATGGTCATGGTTGTTTTTTTTTTTTTTTTTTTTTTTTTGTTTTCGCTCGCTCACTCACTTTTTCGCTCTCGCCGCTTTTTCCAATTCAGACAGTGGAAGCAAAAGCTGATCGTAATTACGTTTTGCGGTAGTTTCTTATTTTTGACTTCGTGTTCTCGTCACACATCCATTAATAAGTAAACAATCAAAGAAACAACAAATAAATAAACACAACTGGCACACACACAGATTGTTAGCGCGGGGTGGGTGGGGCTCGTTAGCGTATACGAGCTGAACCCAATTTCAATAAAATAATAAATATTTGTGTTACATATTATTGCTTTTGGCTCGTTAGATGCTCGTGTGCTGTCATTCGCTGGCCAATTGATTTAAAACGCGTCGTAATTAAGGACGACACATACATATTGTCCTTGCGATGACGTCAACGCTGAGCGTAGCGTCGCTTGCCAGCAGTGAAGAAGATTGTAAGTGGGGGACAGCCGCAGTAACTATTTAGACATTCACATTCCGCAGATTAAATAAGCTTTGGCAGTCCATGCCGCAAGTCACGTACAGCTACTTATAGCATTTTGCATACATTGCAGCCACGCTCGCCAAGAATAACAGGCAGAAACGAAAGTTTCCTGGCACTGATGCGGGCCCAACGGGCAAGAAGGGACGTCCTAGCTCTGATGTGACAGCCAATGTGAAACTTCCTCCGCACGGCTACCCGCTGGAGCATCCATTTAATAAGGATGGATATCGTTATATACTTGCCGAGCCGGATCCGCACGCGCCATTCCGCCAGGAATTCGATGAGAGCTCCGACTGGGCGGGAAAGCCCATACCTGGCTGGCTATATCGCACACTAGTGCCACATGCAGTGCTACTGGCTCTGCACGATCGAGCACCACAATTAAAAATCAGCGAGGATCGACTGGCGGTGACTGGGGAGCGGGGATATTCTCAAGTGCGCGCTACACACTGTAATTAGCTAAGCAATGAATTTTTCGTGGTGGCTTTTATTCAAAAATTCTGTTTTGTCATAGCTGTGAACCGTGGTTGCTGGTACTATGAGATAACCGTTGAAGAGATGCCGGAGGGTGCAGCAACTCGAGTTGGCTGGGGACGAGAATATGGTAACCTACAGGCGCCGTTGGGATATGACAAATTTGGCTATTCCTGGCGCTCGCGCAAGGGCACAAAGTTTACTGAGAGCCATGGCAAGCACTACAGTGAAGCGTATGGTGAAGGAGACACGCTTGGGTTGCTCATTGACCTTCCCGAGTTGCCAACAATGGACTACCTGCCCAACACATTCAAGGACCGCGTGAGTTAAAAATTGGAATTGACCGCAAAAATTGCCCATTTACTTTATTCCATATTTTCCATCAGCCGCTTGTTAAATTTAAATCACATTTGTATTACGAAGATAAGGACAAAATAACGGAAACACTTAAAAATCTGCACATCCTGCAAGGCAGTCGAATCGAGTTCTTTAAGAATGGCCAGTCGCAGGGTATTGCGTTCGAGGACATTTATGGGGGCAGCTATTTTCCGGCCATTTCGATACACAAGAGCGCTACAGTCAGTGTGAATTTTGGGCCAGCCTTTAAATATCCCGAGGTGTTGAGCGAGCGCAAGGCAAAAGGCGTAAGTAGGTCGACTTCTTATTAAGGTAAACGCTGGCTTATATCTCTGTACCTTCTCTAAACTAGATGAATGATCGTGTGGAAGAACTGATCACAGAGCAATGTTTAGCAGATACCCTATACCTTACAGAGAACGATGGCCGCCTGCGTCTAGACAACATGAGTCTGTAATCTTTACTTTTATTTGTTACTATAATTTCGACACGTAAGCAAAAGGCGTCGTACTACACCATGTGTCTTGGAGATTGAAACGTGTGGCATATGTTCCCTGAGTACACAATTGTTTGTATACGTCTTTATAACATACAATATTGAGGATATGTCGACAGTGATTTTTCAGATTATATGGTTGTTAGGAAATAATAAGATGGAATTTGATAAACATACCATTAAAAGTATTTTGAAAACAAATAGTTGAAAAAAAAATAATAAAAATAGTCATATAACAAATGTGTGTGAAAGACGAAAGTGCTCAAACATATATTCTCGAATAGCATCAATCGCGCATAAACAAAAAGAATATCGTCTCTGCTGGCTCCACCCAACAATGCAAACACATGTTACGGTGTTCGGAGCTTTGAAGAGAGTATTTCCTAGTCGGGCACTTTCAAATAAAGCACTTGCTCATCTTGCTTTCAAAATTTATTGCTAGTTGTATACAACGAGATTTTGGCTACTTAAACGCTTTAAATTTTGAGGCACTGTACGGTATGTAGAAGGCACTACTGGTGGCAAACTGCGACCGTGGATGATGAATTGCTGCTGAGATGGAACGACCCGTTGAAGGGGTAGTTGAATTTGTTGTGACTTGGTCTAGCGGCAGGCCATTCTGATGCGAATGCTGGACATTGTAATCTCTCAACTTCGCGTGAGGACTCGCACCATGAGTGACTATATTGTTGGTGTGTGCGCCACGCCCACTGGAAATGCTTTGACTAGATGTGGTGGCAGTCGTGCTGAAGTCTCTGTGACGGTTCAGTGACGGCAACACAATTGCATGCTTGTTGTTTAGGAATCGGCTGGCAGCCATGGGCATGTTCCAGGCCGATCTAACGCCTGCCTGCTGCCTCTGTCTCTCCGCGCTGCTGGCATACGTCAATGCCGCTGATTTCGGTTGCTGCTGCACCTGCGTCAGCTGCACAAAGCTACGGTTGTTGAGGAGCCCGCGAAAACGTCGATTGGAGTCCAGTACGTTGAGAATAGGTGGCATTCGCAGACGAGAGTGTGGCACTGTAGCCGACTGCGGCGTGATTGGTGCTTGCGGCTGCTGGGTGTGCTCACGCCTGCGTAGTTTGAGCGCAACCGACGTAATGTGTAGATCTCTGTCCAGTATAGCCACAAGGTTTTGGGCAGGACGCATATAATTTCGATCTGATGGTATTAGCTGCTCGTGCTCGCGTTGACG